CACGCGTTGGACTTATTAAGAGTAAAACTCAGCCTAGCCAGCTGTATCATAAGAGCATCGTCATCATAGAGAAGGGGTAGTAGCAAATGCTACATAATGATATATAAATATATCTAAGTCGATGCTCCACACGAGAGTCACTTGTCCAGCTTGTTTCTACCACATTGAACCGACATTGGGACTACGTCTCCAAATAAGGGTTGGGTTGCCGCTGTCAGTGACCTCATCTATGGGCTTAACCCCATCTCCCTCGATGAATCCAGAACCACACTCCTGGATAATCCCTTAGTCAAAGGGTCATCAAGATTCTTTTCACAGACTTTACAAAGTCTAGAATCATAACTTTGCCTAGCAGGCGTTGTATTTATTTATCAAGTTCTTATTTTGTAATTAGTCCATCATATTGTTTAAAATTGATATTAGGTCATGATCTATGATCATAAAAGATCATAGTCTATGTCTGAAGAGATTGACCTTAATATCTGAACATTTCAAACTAATGTGGAACTAAAAATTCTGCAGTTATGCATATGCACATACATGAATGAAATTAATAATAGATACATGCAGAGCATAATAGGATTTCGTATCTTAAAAAAATATTTTTGTAGCTTAAAATATATTTCATACTTCATAATTCAAATGCATAAAATTTTTAAAATTGCTTACATGATTTCCAGGATACAGCAGCACCACCAAAAAGAAATACATATCCAGATGTAGACTTTACACTGTTGGAATCTGTGACCCAATTGGCGTCACTATACCCTTCTATAGCATCAGGGTAACCAGTGTAAGTCAAGCAATAGTCAATTGTGCCTTTTAGATATTTGAATACTCTTTCTAAGGCAGACCAATGATCTTTGCTAGGGTTGCTAGTATACCGACTCAGTCTCCCTACAGCATAAGCTATATCAGGTCTGGTTCGGTTGGATATGTAAAGAAGAGATCCAATCATCTGAGAATATTTTAGTTGGGAGACAGGTTCACCTTCATTCTTCTTCAAAGGTATAGAAGAATCATAAGGTGTGGAAACAGGTTTAGAGTTATGAAAGTTGAATTTGATTAGCATTTTATCAATGCTATGGGAAAGACTCAAAGATATCCCTCTAGTGTCTCTAGAGATTTTCATTCCAAGTATCATGTCTGCAAGACCTAAGTCTTTCATATCAAAATTTTTGGAAAGATAATCCTTAACCTTTGAAATTAATTCAAGTGTTGTTCCAAAGATAAGGATATCATCAACATAGAGACAGAGAATGACATAGTCATTGTTTATCACTTTAAAATAGACACATTTATCGTGTTCATTCACAGTGAAGCCATATTGTGCAATGACGTTGTCAAATTTCTGGTGCCATTGTTTAGGAGCTTGTTTAAGACCATACAAAGATTTAACAAGCTTACAGACTTTGTTTTCCTGACCCTTGGCAATGAGGCCTTCAGGTTGGTGCATATAGATTTCTTCATCTAAATCACCATTCAGGAAAGCAGTCTTGACATCCATCTGATGTATGATAAGCTTATGGATAGCAGCAAAGGCTAGTAATACTCGGATAGTTGATATTCGGGCTACAGGAGAATATGTATCAAAATAATCAATGCCCTTTTGTTGAGTAAAGCCTTTAGCTACTAATCTAGCTTTAAATTTATCTATGGAACCATCAGCTCTGAGTTTCTTCTTGAATATCCACTTACAACCAATAGGTTTACAACCTGGAGGTAAGTCGGTGAGTATCCAAGTATGGTTTTCCATGATAGATTTAATTTCATTATCAATGGCTTCTTTCCAGAAAGGAGATTCAGGTGAATCCATTGCTTCTTGGAATGAGCTTGGATCACCTTCAACAAGAAAGGTAAGAAAGTCTTCTCCAAAATCCTTTTCGATTCTACCTCTTTTGCTTCTTCGAGGTTCAATATCAAGAGGTTGAGAAGAACTGGAAGATGGAAGATCAGAAGGAATGGATGATCTGGGATTTTCTGAGATTTTAGATTTGAAAGGAAAGATGTTTTCAAAGTAGACTGCATCTCTTGCTTCAATGATGGTATTGTTGGATATGTCACTAATTTCAGATTTGATGACTAGAAATCTGTTAACATTGCTATCTAGTGCATATCCAATAAAAGCAACATCTACAGTCTTAGAACCAATTTTTCTCTTCTTAGGTTCGGGAATAGCTACTTTAGCCAAGCAACCCCAAACCCGGAAGAAATTCAGATTAGGAGATCTCCCCTTCCAATATTCATAAGGAGTTGTATCGGAATATTTCTGGGGAATCCTATTGAGAATGAAGCAAGCAGAAAGAAGAGCTTCACCCCAGAGATTTTCAGGTGCTCCTGAACTGAGTAACATACAGTTCACCATGTCCATTAGGGTTCTATTCTTTCGTTCAGCTACCCCGTTAGACTGTGGTGTATAGGGAGCAGTAACCTCATGAATAATACCGTGTTCTTGGCAATATTCAGTCATATGATTTGAGGTATACTCCCCCCCACGATCAGATCTTAGAATCTTGATCTTCCTGTCAAGTTGGTTCTCAGATTCAGCTTTGAACACCTTAAACCTATCTAAGACTTCATCTTTAGTTTTGAGAAGATAGGTGTAACAATATCTGGAGTGATCGTCTATAAAAGTCACAAAATATCTCCTACCCCCTCGGGTGAGAACTCGGTTAGAGTCACACACATCACTATGAATTAATTCGAGGGGTTCAGAGTTTCTAGTTATAGACTTGAAGGGTTTTTTAGTGTGTTTCCCTTGAACACAGATTTCACATTTAGATGAGGGATCATGAGAAGATTTAGGAATGAGGTTTAATTTACTCATTCTCTGCAAGGTATGGAAATTAACATGTCCAAGTCGTCCATGCCAAACATCACAAGACTCAACAATTTGAATAACAGAAGACTCAGAAATTTCATTAGAACTGGAATTGATTACATTGAGTTTGAAAAGGCCATTACAGATAAAACCTTTTCCTATGAAAACATTACTCTTTGTAATCACAAATTTATTGGATTCTTTTACAATCCTATAACCAGCTCTAAGAAGAAGAGATTCACTAATCAGATTGCGACGGAGAGAAGGAACATGATAAACGCCTTGCAGATGAAGAACTTTCCTTGCAGATGAAGAGATTTTCCAGAAGTCATGGAAAGCTCTATACTTTCACTTCCTATTATTGATTTAGTGGAGTCATCTGCTAAGCTTATGCTTCCTCCACGTGATTCCTGATAATTTGAAAACCAAGAGCGGTCATTACAGACGTGGATATTTGCTCCGGAATCCAAATACCAATCAGTGGAAGAAGTTAGAGAATTTACAAGATGAGATGAAGAGGCTAACCTGAAGGAGGTTGGATTCATTTCAATCATATTAACTTTGTTGGATCCATTTCCTTTAGGGGCAGGTTTGGCCGGTTCCTTCTTCCGAAAGAAACAGTTGTGAGCCATGTGGTTGGTTCTACCACAGACAAAGCAGAACTTCTCATCAGACTTATGGCTGGAAGAATTGGGATTTGGTTTGAAGGAGGATTTGTTGAAAGATTTATTGAAAGATTGTTGATTTTTCTTGAATTTCTTCCCTTTGGGTTTGAAATTCTTAGATTTAGGCTTATCCTCTACCAAGTTTACTTTAGCTTTTGTTTCATTCTTGGTATTGGAATTTTGCCTATGCTGGTCTTCAATACGAATAGCATTGAGGGCTTCAGTTAAGGTTAGATCTCCTTGCTTGTGTCGGAGATCTCCAGCAAATCTAGACCAGGAGGGAGGAAGTTTATCAATCAAACAGGAAACTTTATAATCGTCAGTAAAAGTGTTTCCTTTTGATTGGAGATGACGGAGGAAATCTAGGAATTCATGAATTTGTTCATTAATGGGCTTGTCATCAACCATCATGAACTTATTGAAGGAGGAGGAGGTGAAACGCAGAATTCCGGCATCATCATAGCCATATTCTGCTTCAAGAGCATTCCATAGTTCTTTTGCACTTTTGAACTCATAATATATGTCATAAAGGTTGTCTGCAAGTGCACTAAGAATCCTATGACAACATGTCCGCAAGTGCACTAAGAATCCTATGACAACAATGATAGTTGATTTCTTCTGGTTTCATAGAGCTAGAAAAGGAGCTAGCACCAGAACCAGAAGTAGAAGGAACAGGTTGAGCAGGATCAGGAGTCAAAGGTTGAGAACCACTAGTAGATGACTCAGAAGTATCAATAGCAGATAAAAGACCTAATGTAGTGAGCCAGTATTTCATCTGATTAGCCCACCGTTTATAGTTAACACTGGTGAACTTCTCAGGTTTGACACTTTTTGAATGATCAGGAATTGCCAGAAGTCCAATTTAAGTTTACTAGTCTAGGTAGATGTAATCTGATTGAAAAAGAATTTTGTCAATATTACTAAGACCAGAAACTTAATTAAACCTGCTTTAAATCAAAAACTCTTAAAGTGAAAAGATAAAAGTTTTACTCGGGTAGTTTGGCCAGGTAAGGATAGTACTAGAGGTTGATCAATGATCGATTAAGTACCTCGTTTCTTGCAGAGCGCTTTACGCAACCCTTAAACCTTTCCTTAGACACCAACTAATCCAAGAAAACTTGAACCGGTTCACTTAAAGATTTTTTGTTTATTTACTATGAAAATTGACAGATGCAGAAATTGAGTATAGAAGCTACAAAGATTTTTTTTATAGCTAATTTAGATGCAACAAATTAAAACAATTAACTAATACAACAAGAAATTATTAATATATAAAATTCGGGTGAACAGTAATCCCGATGAACAATAATATTTTTTTTTATTTATTTTTTATTTTACTAATTAACTTAACAGCAAGAATTCTTAATCTTCTAGATTGCTGTCAAAACAAAGATATAAAAAAATATAAAACAAATTTAAAAGTTAGAAAATTCAGGCCTGATTGGGAGCAGTCGTGATATCACTGCCCTAGAAGATTAAGGACCCGCCTATCGCCCTGGCGCAGTTTGTCCTCTCTCCCCTAGCGGTAAAAACCCCCGGAATCGGCCGGCCTCTGCACTCGGGCGTGAGTCACAGAGCTTATGCTCAGATGAAAACGGTTGCCCAGTAAAATGTAGCCGAAATTTCTTGGAGGTAAGAGAGTAGAGAAGAGAAGAGAGTTTAGAAAGTGTTCCTCTTCGTTTGTGTGTATCTGAATGAGCTCCAAGCCTCCTTTTATAGGTGATGAAAGTTGTAACCCCCGCTGAATCCAATGGACCGTTACGCACGGTTATTGCTTCCATTACCTGCATGCAGCCGTTACAAAATGTGTAAAACGTGCAAAAATGAAGGCTTGAGAAGCAAAAAGGTGTGCGGCGGCGGCGTGGCGAGGCGTGCGCGCGCGCGTGTGTGGTAGAAATGCAAGGCCCACAAAACCCAAAATACTATTCAAAGCCCAATAAGGAGAGAACCAATATATACCCTTTACTATTCATCTCATTTTCCGATGTGGGACTATCCACAAAGGCAAAATTGCCTTTTCATGAATAAAACTTCCAACAACCACAAGCTGCTGCATATCCACATAAAGATCCTTTCAAAGCTACACCAACTCCTGTGTTTGTTCCTGTTAAACTAGAACACATGAAAAAATGTCCAATCAGAAAGCAATGATTTTCAAGAACTCCCTTGTAGTTAGGAACCTATAGCTCAATTTAAACAACTCACAAGCTTGAGGCACTTATTAAGAAAACATTTGAAGCCATAGATGAGCAACTAGCTGCTATTGATATGACAAGAAAGAGAGACATTGGAGTATAATCTCGTTATTTTGGAACTGTTTTTGTAAATGTGTGTATTCTAGTGCATGACACATGTAATTTCTTTTTTTTTTTGGCTCATAGTGTATGCTATATGCAAATGAATGCCATAGGATGTATGAAACTTTAATGTATAGAATTTTACTGAACCCAACATTAGCATATTTTTATGAACTATGAAATATGGTGATGTTTAATAATGTATTTTGGTGTTCACGTGATCTTCAATGCAACAATGGAATTTGATTACATGCATATCTGTTTGATTTGTTGGTACTCACCAATTGTGTATATATTAGCATGTTAATACACACCTTGTCACTCTAATAGTTTGTGTGTGTGTCTATATATATATATATATATATATATTGTTTGATCTTAACCTTAGTTATCCTTTTGATCCTCGTTTCCTTCAGAACCATGGTGGGTACTCGCAGTAATGGTAACCCATCCAGTGGCAATGGTCAGATGCCTGCCTCCTGCTGTGCAAAGCTGACCGAAGCCGGCTATTCCTCCTTCCCCTCTCGCTGTGTAAACCCAACCGGAAGCTCAAAATCGTCAAGTAGTGGAGCCACCACCTCCATCTCGTCACCGCCCTCCCTCTATCTCGTGGTTTCAATTCAATCCATGGATTTTTTGGACTCTATCATTTTTGATCTCGCCGGCATGCTGAAGCCGATGGTTGGCGACGACCATGGTTTTGATTGGGTTCATGCTGGAGTTCATCTTCACTCAAAAAAATGCTGGCTGGATCATTCTTGCTTACTTGTTCATGGTAAATCCTTTATCTTATTTTTGAATTGAGCTTAATTTGGCTAAAAAGAGAGAGTTTATGTACACAAGCTAGATCAATAAGCACAATGATGGTTTATGTATCTCACTCTATTCTAATTTTTATGTAGTTTATATTCAGTTCTCAACTCTCAGATTAGATTTTATTTGGTTAGGTGTTTACATGTTGATGGTTCATGTTGAGGTCTCTTTTGTTCGGTGCCATCATGATTATATGCACATGTTGAGCTCAATCATGCGTACATGCTCAGTTGAGCATATTTTTAAAATTAAATTATACCATTTGGTTTTCTGAGTCATTTAGTTTTTGAGTTCCATTTTGTTAGGTTTTTACATGATTACTAGTATTTAGACCCGTGCAAAGCACGGTTTCTAGAAGATTTTCTGTAAATACTTAACGTGTTACCAAAATAAAGAATTCTACTTTAAATATGAAGTATAGTCGTGAAAGTGAACTGAATAATTAATAAACAGTTCCGTTATTATTCATCTAGATATTCGATCAAGTTTAATTCAATAGTTCATTTAGGACTAACCAAATAATATTTAGTGTTTGACTCATAAATGAATAGAATTTGACCAAAGGTATATTCGATTCGAAGCTTTACAGATTATTCATCCCGTGCTAAGCACGACATCTTTACAGATTATTTTTGTGCGTGATTTTTCCTCATCTCATTTTTTGTTTTGTCACGATAAATTTATCTTAATTATACTTATGGTCATTATAACAACTTAATATAGATAAGTATTTATGGACATTATAACAACTTAATTCAACTTAACTCAGATGGACAAAAAAAAGAGTCATAATCCAGTATTTATGGACATTATAACAACTTAATTCAACACGATAGATTTTAGAGAATATGAATTTGCTAATAGACTTACAATGATGACCTCCTCTCGGACTCTGAGATCTTGATAGATTTTTTTCTAGAAGGCGTTTAATCAATTACATGATAGTGTTGATAAATTCGTATTCCTATCTATTGTCAACTAAGAGCCATAATCAAAATTTATGAATTAAGCAAATATCTATGAATTAATCAAATAACAAACACGAAGATTCCAAATCAAAATTTATGGACAAAGAAAAGAGAGTCATAATCCATTATTTGTGGACTTATAACAACTTAATTCAACACAAAAAAGATTCTTAGAATATGAATTTACTAATAGACTTACAATGATGACCTCCTCTCGGGCTCTGAGATCTTGGTCAGTACTTTAAAAACATGATGTTGCACCGCAGAAAATCAGAAAATGCCCCTTAAATTCAAAATATCAAAACTATCATTTCGATATTTTAGTTGAAGATAATATAGTGTGTATACTAAAGTTGCATCAGCAAGTTGAACTGAGTTTCACATTTGAGAAAAAGAACAACCTTTTAGGCTAAACAATGAGAAAAAGAACAACCTTTTAGGCTAAACAATGAGAAAAAGAACAACCTTTTAGGCTAAGCTCCACCCAAAAGACTCTGAAAAACTGAAACCCAGATGCAAAATCCAAACACTGCTCCAAAAACAGAGAAGAGGCAGCCTTACTACCTACAGAATTCTACAGTTTGATTCAGTGAAGCAGCTGAAATCTTAATTACAGTCAAATTTCCATTGGCATTCTATACCCAAGAAGAAATCTAAGGTGAAAAAGCAACTTTTTTTCTCCCAAGATCCTCTCTTTTCGCCTCTTTAATCAATTTCTTAAATTTAAAAAAGAAGAGAACTTAAGAAAATGAGCTCTGTCAGTATTTGCTCGCTATATTCACATTATAGTTTAAGAATTTAAGTTAGAGCAACTCCAAAAGAAATCATCAATGTCATAGTACAATACACATAATATGTTATAATGCCTTTTGGATAAATATAGATATAAGACAATTTGGGTAAAGAATAAAATTTTGATACCTCTACATTCTTTATTAGGTAAAATCAAGATAACCCTACAATTTTTCATTCAAACACTTCACATGCATAGATAAAGATTATATCTTTCTCCACATTTCCCCCTAATCCATTCAAAAAAATCTAATCTTTTTTCAACAGATCAATGTGCACACATCAATGGCAGCAACCAAATCAAGTAAACTCGAAATAATACCTCAAAAATAAAAAATAAAAAAATAAAAAAACACAAAAAATTTACCCGCTCGACCATCTTATGCTTGAGGACTTGACTCTTGTCAAGAATCTTAAAAGACCACTCAGGTAAAGAAAAACTTAATTAAGATGTCATAGATATCATCTCTTAACTGTGTTAGCTTACAGAATTTACCGCACATTCTACCAATATGACCATTTCACCCAATAAATTCTTTTTTGAAAAAAGAGAGAAGGAAAACACTTACCGAATATTCAAACTCCTGCAATCCGAAAGCTTCAAAATTCGAAGATTCTGAAATCCCCCCAATTAAGCCATCCACTCAGCATCCACGATGCTCTCCCCACTCAAATCAACCTCTTCAACGCAATACTGGAAAAACATGAACAAAATAAAAAAAAAATCACAAATTCTAACAAAAAAGGTCCAAAATAAAAAAGTTAGGGTTAGGGTTTTGAACGGACTTGAGGAGGGATGGGTAGAGGAGGTGGCGGTGGCGGAGGCGGCGAAAGAGGGCGTCGGCGAGGTGGGAGGGGAGGCGCTCCAGGGTTCGATGCAGAGATCTGAGTTGGATTGCATCTGGGATCTGAGGTCTCGTTGTTCTCCCCTCTTCGCTTCGCGATCAGAGATGGGAGGAAAAGATGGGATCTGTATAGAGAGAGAGGGGAGAGATCTGGTTCATTTCCCCCCTTTTTCTTTTTGCGGTTGGAAAGAAGAAGAGAAGTCGACGTGGGTTTTTATTTGAGAGTGGAGGGAGACATCGTGTGGAGTGGAAAGTGGAATGATAGGAAAATGGACGGTTGTGGTTGAACTGAGAGTGGGTGAGACGGTGGTTATTTGAACCATTTTCATATTATTTTTAAATTAAAATATTTGAGCAATCTGATTGGCCTAACATAAGGTTACTGTTCATTAGAGGATTTCTATTGTTCTCCTTTAGTTAATAAGAAGTAGATAAGCTCATGTTGAGCTCAATCAGATTGAAGGCAACTATGTTCGGCTCATGAATGCTTATGTTGATTGGTATATGCTCAGGTTGAGCTCAATCAGATGGACGGTGTTTGGTTCATGGGAGCTAACTCTGAGTTGTTGACCTCTTTGAGTTTTCTTTTATTTACGGTTTTTGTGTTTACATCCACATGTTGGATCAATAAGTACAATGGTGGTTTATAGTTGGTACTTTATGCTAATTTTGGGTAGTTTATACTCAGTTCTCAGCTCTCAAATTTGATTTTATTTGGTTTGCTATTTTCATGTTGATTTCATGTTCAGTTCTCTTTTATTTGGTGTTTTCATGATTATATGCACAAGTTGAGCTCAATCATGCATTCATGCTCAGTTTGAGAATATTATTTGATGGAGCTATGCCATTTGGTTTTCTGAGTTGTTGAGCTTTTGAGTTCTCTTTTGTTAGGGTTTTACATGATTATAAGCTCATGTAGAGCTCATTCAGATTGAAGGCAATTATGTTCCGTTCATGAGTTCTTATTTTGAGAGGTATATGCTCAGGTTGAGCTCAGTCAGATGGATGGTGGGATATGCACAGCTATGATGATGGTCTTTTTTTAATGTATGCAGCCAAAACTTATACTAGTAATCAATTGGCGAGGCAATACATGCGGCCAACATTGCTGTTTTATATTTTATGGCGAAGCATATTATGACGACATAGACCAAAACTGTGAGCATAATGGAACCATTCTCTATAGAATTCAGGGCTCATGTTATGTCTTCAAAGTTAATTTTGAGTCCCCTAAGTCTTTAAAGTTTTTTTAAATTTTCCCTAAAATGTTCATATGTGGACATTTTTGCAAATTACTACCTCAAATCTTTAAATATTTTTTAAATTACTCCCTCATGTTGTTACATGATTTGAAATTTCTTCCTCAAATATTTATACTTTTGTGTGATGGAAAGCAAGTTGACCCCTCATTTTTTGTTGCCAATGATTTTGTCTTATGTGGGTGGTAATCACACCATAGTGACCACAATCAAATTTTCTTTATTTTTGTAGTTTGAAACAAACACTAAAAAATGAGGTAATCTACCCATACATCAACTACTTTCTTTTCTTTTTAAGTTGAAACAAACAAATGAAAGCGGTGGAAAGCAATTATTCTCCATATTTCTGACAAAACAAACACAAGAAATAACTTTCCATGAAAGTAAAGGAAACACCAAAAAATGAAGAAATGTTGGACTTGGAAAATGGAGGAAAACAACCAAACAACCTCTATAACGAAACTACCCTTAGGGGGTGTTTGTTTTGATTTTTTTTTTGGGATTTCAAAATGGGATTTGAAATCCATAAATGATGTGGTTTTTAGGATTTGAAATCCATAAAGGGGGTTGTGTTTGCTTCAACAATATTTTGGGATTTGGAATGCTAAAACTTGTAATATTTTGTTTGTTTCATCAATATTTTGGGATTTGGAATACTATAAATTATATATTATAATATTATATAAAATTTTAATAACATATATTATATAATATATATATATATATATATATAATATTATAGATATATTATATATTATATATAATATATAATATATATTGTAATATATAAATTATATATTATTTTATATAATTTATATAATTTATATTATATATATATATATATATATATTATATTATTCTATATATTATTTATAATTAATATAATCATTATATTAATATATATTATATATATAATATAATTTAATTATCTAATATATATAATAGTATGCTACGCAGTAATTTACTACAACTATTAGCTAACGAGCATGCAGCATTGATATTAATATATATGTTAATATCATACTAATATATAATAATATATATATATATATATCTATATATATATATATATATATATATATATATATATATTATATATATATATTAATATATTATATATGTTTATATTATATATTATATATTATATATTTATTATATATATATATAATTATATATAATATATATATATATATTATATATATTATATTATATACTAAAATTATTATTATTATATATAGATTATATATTATTGATGTATATTTATATATATATATAATATATATAATATTATATCATACATATTAATATGTATATAAATATAATTATATATAAATAATAATATTCATATATACATAATTATATATATAAATAATTATATTATAATTATATTTATATTATATTAATATATTAACATTATAATATATATATGCTATATATATTATATATATATACTATATATCTAGTTATATATGATATATTTATTTATATATATAATAATATAATATTATATATACTATTATATATATATATATATAATTTATAATATATTATATAATATATGGCTAGCAGTAATTTAGCTACAGCAGTGAACAGTGATATATAATTATATATATATTTGTATATTATATATATATATATTATATTATATATATATATATATATAATACAATATATATATATATATATATATATTATATTATATATATATATATTAAATTATATATATATATAGATGTATTATATTAAATATTATATTATTATAATATTATATATAATATATTAATTTTATATTAATCTTATATTATAAGCATTAATACATCAATATCCAACCCACATCCTCTCTCAAGTGTAGAATTTCACAAATGCCTAAATATAATAGTTTTTAATATTTTGGGATTTGATATCCCAAAATTGGTTTTGAAACAAACAAAGTTATTGATTTCTAAAACCTTATATCCCAAAAAAAAGATGGAAACAAGAGAGAGGATTTCACAAATCCTAATAAAATATTATTGTTTTATAATTTAGGGATTCAATATCCCAAAAAAAAAAGTGAAACAAACAAAGTTATGGATTTTTAAAACCACAAAAAAGCACTTTTTACATCCCAAAACTATCATATCCCAAAAAAAAACCAAAACAAACACCCCCTTAGTTAATATTGCATATCTGCCAGCCTAGAAAAGAGAGCATAATAAATTTGGAATGAAAAATATTTCTACATCAACTATCCCATGACTGGTGCCATATTTGGGTCTAAATGGAATTATTCATTTGTAATTTAGAACACCAAGATTGCATACATTTGTAATAGTATAATCGAGAAAAATAACGTATGTAAGAAATAAAAAAAAATTATGATTTTTATATTCTTTAAAAGCGAATAAAATAGAGAAAACAACATGCTTTATATCACATGCATTTGCACAAGTCAAAATTTTATATTATTTGAAACTAAAATGTCCTCATCCAACTTTGATTGTGATCTGAGATTAGTTTAAACCATACAGATGTACCAAAAAATTTATATCTTACCCAAAAAAAAAAAAGAAAAGAAAAAAAAGAAACCCACCCAAAAAAAATTATGATTTGCATAGATCACCACATTATACTTATGATTGGCGTAGATCACCGTGTTATATGGTGGATCTTCTGATTGAATTTTCACTTCACACAAACCAAATCATCATAAATGCATGTCATCCAAATTATTTTCAAGTGCATATAATAATGTAACAAATGGCGATCCAATCTCAAGATATATATACTCTTCTAATGTTCATTCAAAAAATTTCCGAATCACACATTTCTTTTCTCATAACAGCAAAAATTAAATACGTAAGCAGGTTCAAAGAGAATAACAAAGTTCGTAGTGTCACTTTTGGGCCAAAAAGAGCTCGCTGCGGTTCAGTGACCGGTACGCAAGCGTTGTACCCGGCCCAGCCTGGCATAAAGACCGACCGCCTCCCCTCAAACGAACATAATTTTGAATTCTCCTCAAAACCCCCCCTTTTCTCTCTGTCTCACACCCTCTCTCTCTCGAGAGCCGCAGGCGAGAGAAAGAAAATGGTTTCCTTCAAGGTCAGAGAAAGATAAAACCCTAGAAATCAATCATCTTCAATTTTACTTTTCCTCTTTAAATCCTCATCAGATTCTTTTTTTTTTCCTTTTAAATTAGGGTAAAGAAACAAAAATCAGCGCTATTTCCACTCGAATCCTCGACGAGAATCGAGCTCCCAAGAACAGTAATCAAACCCTAAAACTCCCCCCTTTTTTTCTTTTTCTAACTCTTCTTTCTTAATCTTATTTATTTCTTGAAGGTTTGAAGAGGGCTGACGATCAATATGGGTATCTCATAGTTCACTTGGCTCCTTCTCTCTTCCAAATTTAAAAGCCCTAGCTTTGACGAAATTAAGTGCGATTTCTTTCCTTTATTTTGACAGACGAGCTACAGGGAAGGTTCCAATGGCGAGTTTGCGGTAATGGGGATCCTATTTTGCTGACAAATTTGTGTAAGCATGATCTCTTGTTAAAGAAATTGCTGATTTTGTTCTTTTCCGGTTGAAATTGAAGGAAATCTGGGTTTCTTAGTTCATCAGCAGCGGGGACAACTAAGATTGATTTGAATCGTGGCAAGGTTTTGGACATGACCTTGTCTTATTCTTAACATTTGAAAACTTTCCAAATTTAACTATCTAAATTTGAGAAATACGCCACCAAATATGGCTAACTGCCGTTTCTTTCTCAGGGAAAGGTGCAGGGTTTGGAGAATTCTATGGCAAAATGTGAAATTTCTGGTAAGATTCAGGGCTCTAACGTCTCCTATTTTGCTGATTGATAGATGCTTTCGTCATTTTTTTGTATGCGGTTATTGAATAGTCAAATCAAGGGCTGGAAGAAAAGCATTGGTTGACATCAGCAATTTGAAGAAAAGTAGAAGCAACCAATGTGGACATGAGCTGAGTAATAAACCCAAAATAATGTGAGTGAGCATCCTACTTACATGGATGTTTATATTTTAAAATATTCATACACTGCAAATGAGTTACCCATTTGTTTTATTTTTTTTATTGATCCAGGAAAGAAAAGTTAGTGGGAAGTAATTTATCTCAAGGGTATGCAATGCTGGTTGTGTTTACTGTTTGATTGCTATATTTGGACTCATCATGCATGATTATTTTTGTTAATTTCGTTTTATATTTGAAATGGCCATGCAGCAAGACAACTGGAATTCATCGGCCTAGGTAAATTTCTTGCTTTCGGAAGAATTACCACATTAATTCTTAAATTTCAATCAATGTATATCTTGATTGTCAAATTTAACCTCAGGGTTTCTTTGACAAAGAGCGTGGTGATAGCAAGTGTGTTGAGCAAACCCGTCAAAGTATGAATGACACCTTACTCTCAAATTTTCATTGTTCTTGAGCCTACTCTTTTGTATTTTGTGTGGTATTGTTCTGTTGCTTGTTGATATGAAGTTTGTGCAATTGCATGTATCAACAGGCGAAAGCACATGGATAATTGCCCATAAATGCAAACTGAACATGGATATTTTATGTTAGATGTGTATTTATTGTCTATATAGATATATCTGTATCAAAACACTAGAAAGAAGAATGCTCAATCATTCATGCACATACTTTTATGTGCTAACGTGTAGATATATCTGTATCAAAACACTAGAAAGAAGAATGCTCAATCATTCATGCACATACTTTTATGTGCTAACGTGTAGATATATCTGTATCAAAACACTAGAAAGAAGAATGCTCAATCATTCATGCACATACTTTTATGTGCTAACGTGCATATGGACATGTGTGCATGTGTTTCTTATATGAACAGTTGATCATTTTCAATGAATTTTGTCCAGTATTTCTTCCATGCTATAGTGATCTATAATATAGTGGACTGCATTTTAGTTCTTGTATTTTTTGTTAGTACATCTCATCGTTTGATTATGCTAAACATGTACCAAAGTACCTCGAATCAAGTACACACGGCCTGCCCATTTTGTTATCAATGTGTTCAGGGCTGATGTGTTGTGCAAGACAATGCATTTTTTTTTTGTGTTGCCCATGCTGGTATGATTTGTTTATTTAAGTTCATAAACATGATGCTTAGCCAATTGTTACCCATGTTGGTATGATTTGTTTATTGAAGTTCATTCTTAGCCTACCAAGTTTATGCTTGCATCATGTGTTAAACTATATCCCTTTCTTCCTTTTTTTATTACTAAATCTTTAGAATAGGATTTCTATTTTTTAACTCTATGATGTAAAGTCTATAGTGGTTATATTTCATTTATGAGCAATGTATTTATGTTTTATTCTATGGTTGTTTTTCTCTTTCAAGGAAAATACAAAAAGTTCAGTAAGAGCTAATGGCAGAAATACACATGGTATCTATCTTAACCACCCAATGCCTTGAACGTCTGATAAATTTTTTATTTTGAAAGCCTAAACCTAATTTTCCCTCAATATTCATGCACTAAATATTGTTCATGTTGGTGAAGTTGAGTGTAGCATGAGAAGAAAAGCACATATTGAAACCAGCAGCTGTCAGGGCCATCGGGTTAACCAGCCACTTGACAGTTCAAAACCAGTGTAAGTTTCTTGGCCCACTGTGATTTGTTGTGTTTGGTTCAAACGACAAAGTTGTCTTTCAGGCCAATTTGCTCGATACCTATTGTGATACCCCCAACTTTTAGGCCTACATCGGGTACTCAAAGAGGTTTCAGTGGGTTTATAATGTAAGTCCTAAGGATTCAAGTGCAAAAATTGCTACCATTTATGGTAGTGGATTGAGCCAATCTACATCTTGCACTTAGTGGGTCCCAAGGCTTACGATGCGCCCACGGACTGCACCTACAGGTCCCAAGGCTTCCATCAGGCCAATGGGCTCACGGATCCGGGGCATGACACCTTCCATATAAAAAGACGGTTTTACATAGTCACTTCTCAGTTTCACTCCTTTTTGCACATGCACCTTATGTTACAAAAGTTAAGATGTTGTCAGCCTAATACCTGCAATCAGCTAAACAAAAGCCCTTGTGTCTAGCATAATATGGTTCAATTATTTCCTTCTCTTTTACAGCAAAAATCAGGGTGTAAAGCTTTCACGGCCAAGGTATGAAGCTCTTAAACTTAGTTTAGCTTTGTCCTTTCAGAATGTATAGGTATCTATATTGATACTATTATTTTTGGTAATAGGCTGTCATTTGCAACTCAGAGAGCTTTGGATGCAAACATCTTATCAAGAAAACCTGTTGGGGTATGTAAGATATGTTGACTGTCATCATTTTTCTTTGATGTAAAGCTTGCAGTTGTTGTTTTATTGTTGTAGATTGTGTATTCTGTGTCTTGCCTTTTGTTTTGTGTGTTCCTTAATCTTTAAGACCTGAAACAATGGATCCTATTATTGCTAGCCAGTTTACTTTTGTATGACTCCTCTTCGATGCATCAAATTTCTTCTGTGAGCATCTTTTTGCTTATAAAACATATCAGGTAGATTTTTTTTCAACTTGTTTCCTTATAATTTCATTAGTCTTTAACTGGGAAATGAATGTTTGTTGGGGAAGGATTCTCATAATACTTGTGCGCACGCACGCATATGTGTGAAGCAGACCAGAATGAATGAATATAAGTTGCAACTTGCGCTAGTATTTCCTGTGAATATTAAAGACTTGAGATTATATTATTGGAAGTGGATAGTTACATTAGAGTAATGATATGGTTGCCTCAAGCAATCACCATTTATATGCGATGTTGTTTCAAAAGGGTATGTTCTTGAAATTATGGCGTAAGATCAATTCACTCACTATTTTCTTTTGCTAGTTTATTTGACACAATAGTTAGCATTATCGTATGGCCATATTCCTGTAAGCATGCACATCCATTGAGTTGATCTCACTATATTGGAGGATTAACAAAATGATTATCCAAAGATTGCGAGCATCAATATGGTGTTAAGCTTTTATAAGTTGGTGTCAAATTTGTTGAGGAAAATGATGTGAAAGTAAGGAGTTATAATAACCAACTAGAAGGTACCGTTAACTACTTTTAGTTGTATTATTTAAAATGGCCGGCAAAAGAACTATTTCCTAGACTTGCATTATTGACGAACTAAAGTGATAGATCCTGCCTGCAGTTTAGCAATATTCAAGGTTGTGACAATTAATTTACACTGAAGCATGGGCATTCAATAAATTTAGAAAGGAAAAGTATAATTGCTAGGTATATGGTTATATATTTGTTCCTAGTTCTTGATTTCCTATTCAAAATAAAAGTTAGCAACATGGAATGCAGTAGTCTGTTTTTGCTAATATTATATCGTTCACCTTTTCCAGATAAAAGCAACCAGCTTACAGACCAACTCAAAATTGAGAAGCACTCTTATGACCAAGTATAAATCCAATGTTGAAATATCGATCACTGATAATGCATGTGTAAATGAGATAGCAGCAGAACCAAACAGTTTCGGTCCTGGTGATAACGAATTAGTGAGCTCTCAAGATGGTCTATCAAAAGCTGAGTCTGATGGCAAAAGCTGCTCCATTGACACTGTGAAGGCCATTATTTCAAAACCAAAATGCAAGCGTCGGAGATCTTATACATCATCATTAGTGGCAAGATCAGAGGTTCATGAAATTATCTAGTTACTTTTCAAATTTCAGGTATTTTCTTATTGTTAAAATTATAATTATTTTTTTCTGTCAGACCCCAGGAAATTTTTCTGAGACTTCTAACTTTATTGGGAAGGACGTCAATATTGATGACAATATGAACCCCTTAGAGGTCACGGAATACGTTGATGATATCTATCAGTATTATTGGGCTATGGAGGTGAGTCCATTAACAGAGTACTTGTATTGTTTGATGTAGAGTTTTCTATTTATGAGAACTAGTATATTATTATCTATACTTTATAGTTTGATTTTAAAATTTCAATATATTGATGGAAAAAGTCTTAAATGATAGTAAAACTGCAAGTGTCCTATTCTTCAGGTTTTATCCAGGTGTATTCTGTAAATCATGGTATCAAATAGATTCACTAGTATATGGACTCTTGTATGAGCAAACAGAATTAATCAACTTTGACATAAATAGCAATGTAGAATAAATAACAAGATTTCATATCTTATTCTTCAAATCTAATTTTTTTGATGATCTTAATGTCATCAGGTACAGAATTTGTTACCAGCAAACTACATGACCATACAGTCAGATATTACTCCTAGAATGAGGGGCATTCTTGTCAACTGGTTAATTGAAGTATAACATGATATCTTCCTCGTTCTATTGCTTCATACCTTTTCTTACCTTTTCTTTATATTCAAACTGAGCAAGCTGTTTTGTTTTCACGAACCAGGTACACCTAAAATTTCAGCTGATGCAAGAGACCCTTTTTCTCATGGTTCAGTTGCTGGATAGAGTGCTTTCTGTTGTTCCAATAAAAAAGGATCAATTGCAGATGGTTGGCCTTGTTGCGCTTCTGCTGGCCTCTAAATATGAAGACTATTGGCATCCAAAGGTTGAGCTAGTCTAGTCCATTTAATTCTTTCATCGCCAGCATTTCTGAGATAACAGCTAGTTGAAAGATTACAACAATTAATTTATGATTAAAATCTGTTTACAGATAAATGAACTGATCAGCATATCGGCAAATTCTTACACGAGGGATCAGATGCTTGCCATGGTGTGGCTCTTATTCACTACTAATGCACAGATTTATCTGTTAGATGATAATCAATGTTTTGTTTCTTTTCCAGGAGAAGCTTGTTCTCAGACAGTTGAGTTTCCGATTAAATTTGCCTACTCCGTATGTCTTCATGTTGAGGTTTCTTAAAGCTGCACAATCCGACAAAAAGGTGCATTGTGGGATGCCTCCAAGTCAATAAATTCAGTCGTTGATGATGTTCATCATTCTGAGTATATACATTTGCTGTTGTTTCGGTTTCCTTTTTCCTTTTCCAGCTTGAACATTTGGCTTTCTACCTTATTGAATTATGTCTTGGGGAGTACGAAGCTTTGAAGTATAGGCCATCCTTGCTGTGTGCATCAGCAATCTATGTTGCACGCTGCTCCCTGCAAATTACCCCAGCTTGGACAGGACTTCTAAGGAAATATGCACGATATGAAGAATCACAACTTAGGTATCTCTCAACTGCTACTTTTAATCTGTTCTTCTTCATCATTGTATCATTTAGTTTAGCGCCTATCAGTTAGTGTTTCATTGTACACACGTGTATGAGTTACTTATCAGGCTAGATATCATTAGCAACTATCTCGTGTTCAATAGATATGTGAGTATATATACACAAATTAAAATCAAATTCATGAATGAGTTGTCATAAAATAGAAGTAAAATGGTAATGAAGCATGGCCGTAGGGGTGCATTCGGTCCGGATACGGCTCGGATATGATGCTTATCATATCCATATCCGCTTACCCATCTCGGATACAGATACGAATACAGATATACATCGGTAAGAAAAATTTATAGCCATATCCGCTAAAATCGGATACGGTTACGGATATACATGCGGATATATAAGCGGATATGCATGCAGATGCTAAAATCGGATACGGTTACGGATATACATGCGGATATATAAGCGGATATGCATGCAGATACAAAACACATAAAACAAAACTAGATAGTATTGAGAAAAACATAGTTCATGTGATATAAAAGAGTTTGTTAATATGTCCATTATAATTGAAAAGTTAAGATTAGACATCTTGATCATCAAAATTAACTACAAATCCATAATCTAAGAATCGAAACTATCGTAAGAGTATGACTAATATGTATTCGGATATTTTGGATACGGATACGGATATTTCACTACAAAACCATATCCGTAACCATATCCTATCGGTTATAGATTTGAGTAACCATATTCGTATCCTAACGGATACGGTTACGGATATTTTCTCGGATACGGATACGGTTTAGCACCCCTACATGGGGCTTCAAGAAATGGTGTGATCTTCCTAGAATTAGAACTCAATAACGACATGAAACAAAGTAGGTTGCAGTTCTCTCTGAAGTGTTGCTTTCTTACTGATTTGCAACAAAAATGGTCATTACTTTATTTATTTATTGATGAATGATGACATTTCTCTCTACAGGGTTTGTGCAGAGATGATACTGAGATTTCATAAAGCTGCTTGTTTGAAACCAACACGAATTACCTATGATAAGTACCTAAGCCCAGATCGAAGTTGTGTTGCTGCCCTAACTGCGATCAATGAGCTTCCTTGATCAAGTTAGAATGGTTAAATTTGTGAATCTGTAACGAGCCCCTTGTCTTGCACAATTTTTCTTTGGCATGTCAAATGCTAGATTGAGTCCTTACTAAGTCTTGTTGTAAATTTGTGGGCTGCTTACAGAATCTATGTTTTGTTTGAGATAAAGCTAATATGATCTATATTGAGTGATCATTCTTCTTTTTTTAAATGTACTGTTAATTAGTTTGCTGATATTGGTCTTCTATTATAATATTACCATTCTAACATCTTATACAAACTTTGGTGATTCACGTATCATAACAACCATTGTTCGTGTTTTTTATTCTTCAATCTGCCTTTTATGTACTGTTGGAATTTTATTACGTTACAGATATGTCTACTCCATCTAATTAATCGCAAGTTTCAAGCAATGGTTGTTATAATTACGTGGAGGTTGCAGCTGTTTGTTTTTACAATTACGTGAAGATTAAATTTTTTTTAATCCATTGCGTGGGGACTGTGGCACATTATTACTATCATGATTTTCATCACCGTCTAAGACCTTTTTTTTGAAGATGCTCTAAATAGTTAGGGAAGTTGACAATGTTTCATTAATGAAGCGAGGAGTTGAGGACTTGGTGTACACTGTAAAGGTCATCACCATCAGGTTGCGAAATTCGATGACATGGAAATTATATAGAGAGGCCTTGATGTTAACCTCTTGGCGGTTCAATTGGCAGGCAGAATGGAGCTAGGTTGAAAATCATGAATTAAAAGAAACTCGCATAGTACAAATTTTGAAAACAGACCCTTTGCAAAAATATTCTCAAAAAAAGACTCGTTTTCACTTTATTTTCAAAAAACGATCTAGTTTTTCACTTTATTTTCAAAAAACGATCTACTTTGTTGAAACTGGGTCGTTTTTATGTAAAAAATATTCCCAAACTTCACGGGAGTTGAACTCCCGTGAAGTTTTTTTCATAACAAAACTTTACGGGAGTTCAACTCCCGTGAAGTTTGTGAACATTTTTCACAAAAAACGACCCAGTTTCAGCATCAGGGCTGAAACTAGGTCGTTTTTTGCAAATATTTTCAAAACGAGTTTTTTTTTTGAGAATATTTTTGCAAAGGGTGTTGGAAACTTATTCATGAAAAGGCAATTTTGCCTTTGTGAATAGTCCCACATCGGAAAATGAGATGAATAGTAAAGGGTATATAATGGTTCTCTCCTTATTGGGCTTTGAATAGTGTTTTGGGTTTTGTGGGCTTTGCGGTTCTACCACACACGCGCGCGCGCGCACGCACGCCGCGCCTCGCCCCGCCCGCCACGCCGCACACTTTTGCTTCTCAAGCCTTCATTTTTGCACGTTTTACACATTTTGTAACGGCTGCATGCGGGTAACGGAAGCAATAACCGTGCGTAACGGTCCCTTGGATTCAGCGGGGGTTACACCTTTCATCACCTATAAAAGGAGGCTTGGAGCTCATTCAGAATCACACCAACGAAGAGGAACACTTTCTAAACTCTCTTCTCTTCTCTACTCTCTTACCTCCAAGAAATTTCGGCTACATTTTACTGGGCAACCGTTTTCATCTGAGCATAAGCTCTGTGTCTCACGCCCGAGTGCAGAGGCCGGCCGATTCCGGGGGTTTTTACCGCTAGGGGAGAGAGGACAAACTGCGCCAGGGCGATAGGCGGGTCCTTAATCTTCTAGGGCAGTGATATCACGACTGCTCCCAATCAGGCCTGAATTTTCTAACTCTTTAATTTGTTTTTTTATATTATTATTGTTTTGACAGCAATCTAGAAGATTAAGTAATAATTCTTGCTGTTAAGTTAATTAGAAAAAAAAGATATATATATAAAAATAAAAAAAAAATTTACTGTTCATCGGGATTACTGTTCACCCGAATTTTATATATTTGTTGTATTAGTTAATTGTTTTAACTAATATGACTGAATATTGCCAAGAACACGGTATTATTCATGAGGTTACTGCTCCCTATACACCACAGTCTAACAGGGTAGCTGAACGAAAGAATAGAACCCTAATGGACATGGTGAACTGTATGTTACTCAGTTCAGGAGCACCTGAAAATCTCTGGGGTGAAGCTCTTCTTTCTGCTTGCTTCATTCTCAATAGGATTCCCCAGAAATATTCCGATACAACTCCTTATGAATATTGGAAGGGGAGATCTCCTAATCTAAATTTCTTCCGGGTTTGGGGTTGCTTGGCTAAAGTAGCTATTCCCGAACCTAAGAAGAGAAAAATTGGTTCTAAGACTGTAGATGCTGCTTTTATTGGATATGCACTTGATAGCAATGTTAACAGATTTTTAGTCATCAAATCTGAAATCAGTGACATATCCAACAATACCATTATTGAAGCAAGAGATGCAGTCTACTTTGAAAACATCTTTCCTTTCAAATCTAAAATCTCAGAAAATCCCAGATCATCCATTCCTTCTGATCTTCCATCTTCCAGTTCTTTTCAACCTCTTGATATTGAACCTCGAAGAAGCAAAAGAGGTAGAATCGAAAAGGATTTTGGAGAAGACTTTCTTACCTTTCTTGTTGAAGGTGATCCAAGCTCATTCCAAGAAGCAATGGATTCACCTGAATCTCCTTTCTGGAAAGAAGCCATTGATAATGAAATTAAATCTATCATGGAAAATCATACTTGGATACTCACTGACTTACCTCCAGGTTGTAAACCTATTGGTTGTAAGTGGATATTCAAGAAGAAACTCAGAGCTGATGGTTCCATAGATAAATTTAAAGCTAGATTAGTAGCTAAAGGCTTTACTCAACAAAAGGGCATTGATTATTTTGATACATATTCTCCTGTAGCCCGAATATCAACTATCCGAGTATTACTAGCCTTTGCTGCTATCCATAAGCTTATCATACATCAGATGGATGTCAAGACTGCTTTCCTGAATGGTGATTTAGATGAAGAAATCTATATGCACCAACCTGAAGGCCTCATTGCCAAGGGTCAGGAAAACAAAGTCTGTAAGCTTGTTAAATCTTTGTATGGTCTTAAACAAGCTCCAAAACAATGGCACCAGAAATTTAACAACGTCATTGCACAATATGGCTTCACTGTGAATGAATACGATAAATGTGTCTATTCTAAAGTGATAAACAATGGCTATGTCATTCTCTGTCTCTATGTTGATGATATCCTTATCTTTGGAACAACACTTGAATTAATTTCAAAGGTTAAGGATTATCTTTCCAAAAATTTTGATATGAAAGACTTAGGTCTTGCAGACATGATACTTGGAATGAAAATCTCTAGAGACACTAGAGGAATATCTTTGAGTCTTTCCCATAGCATTGATAAAATGCTAATCAAATTCAACTTTCATAACTCTAAACCTGTTTCCACACCTTATGATTCTTCTATACCTTTGAAGAAGAATGAAGGTGAACCTGTCTCCCAACTAAAATATTCTCAGATGATTGGATCTCTTCTTTACATATCCAACCGAACCAGACCTGATATAGCTTATGCTGTAGGGAGACTGAGTCGGTATACTAGCAACCCTAGCAAAGATCATTGGTCTGCCTTAGAAAGAGTATTCAAATATCTAAAAGGCACAATTGACTATTGCTTGACTTACACTGGTTACCCTGATGCTATAGAAGGGTATAGTGACGCCAATTGGGTCACGGATTCCAACAGTGTAAAGTCTACATCTGGATATGTATTTCTTTTTGGTGGTGCTGCTGTATCCTGGAAATCATGTAAGCAAACAATAATTGCCAGGAGCACCATGGAATCTGAGCTAATTGCTCTTGATACTACTTGCACAGAAGCCGAATGGTTAAAAGATCTTCTATCTGAACTTCCTTTGGTCCCTAAACCCTCTCCTCCTATTTCCATTCATTCTGATTCTAGATCTACCATAGAGCTTCTAAAGCAAGTACATGTAAATAAAAAACATAACAGACATATTCAAATAAGATATAAGTCTGTACAACGCCTATTAGGCAAAGTTGTGATCTTGGACTTTGTAAAGTCTGAGAAAAATCTTGCTGACCCTTTGACTAAGGGATTATCCAGGAGTGTGGTTCTGGATTCATCGAGGGAGATGGGGTTAAGCCCATAAATGAGGTCACTGACAGCGGCAACCCAACCCTTATTTGGAGACGTAGTCCCAATGTCGGTTCAATGTGGTAGAAACAAGCTGGACAAGTGACTCTCGTGTGGAGCATCGACCTAGATATATTTATATATCATTATGTAGCATTTGCTACTACCCCTTCTCTATGGTGACGATGCTCTTATGATACAGCTGGCTAGGCTGAGTTTTACTCTTAATAAGTCCAACGCGTGTATTGTGGGGGGTATTAAATAAACAGCTGTAGTACCCTTTGAGGACTTACCTACGTGAGAGGAACCGTGATGGCCGCGGTTGGGGGGGACAGGGCTGACCCCTAGAAACTCTCATGAGTCGGTTTTTTGTGAGCATGGCCTTTAACGCTCAACCCGCTTTGCTCAATAGATGAAGCGTATTGTGTGTGTTTTCATCAATACCTGATTAAAGGGGCCTAATTCAAGGCCTAGTCCATTATGTCCATCAGGTGGCGATGAACTCACTAAGGAAAGGTTCAAAGCCGAAAGCTACCTCTCCCGAATTCACGATACGAAAGGTTGCCCAACCTATATTTATTCTGTGATTTATTTATTGATTTATTATTTTCAGTCAATATTGCCTTTTGGGGGGGGACTGTTAGATATTTTGTTAAGAAAAGACAATTTTGCCTTCATGAATAATAATAAATTTTTGTAATTAAAACATGTTTTAATTAGCAATTAAAAATATGTGTAACGGCTATATAATTATGGGGAACGTTACAAAATTTATGACGAACGTTACAGAATTAATTACGGGTTTTGTAACATCTTTTCCAACCCTATATATATCCGTATGTTGAGCTCAAAATGACAAGAAAAAATATACAACAAGTTTTCTCTTGTTTTTCTTCTCGGACAAATTGCGCCAGGGCGATAGGCGGGTCCTTAATCTTCTAGGACAGTGATATCACGACTGCTCCCAATCAGGCCTGAATTTTCTAACTTCTTAATTTGTTTTATATTATTATTGTTTTGACAGCAAAGGGGTCTGTTTTCAAAATTTGTCCTAACTCGCATAAGGATAAAAAGAAGAATGAATTCATTTCCAGTATAAACAAGCCAGAGAAAATTGATGTTAGTCGATATTTTTTTGATGGTCCGGTGCTCGAGGATGGGGAAAGGCTGAGGTAGACCTTCAAAGGGAAGCCCTTTTGTTTTGTTTTGTTTAATTATGAATCTGAAGCAAACTTATTTGAGGTTGAGGTATTAAAAGTTCTCTTGGAGCAAAAAAAACAACTGAATAGGACGAGGGATCAAAAACGAAGATAAAGCCCTTATTTGATCAGTCATCCGTTGTACCTACAGACACACATTTGTCACTAGCTTCTTTTATGCAGATCGATGATTAGTTGGATACCGTTGTTTGGTCTCCTTCAAGTCACGGTTAGACTTAGTTTAATGATCCTCTTACTTAAGCTGTATTTAATGGTCTAAAACTAGTATATACTACAGCTAAGCTATACCTAATGCTCTCCAATTGGAGTAATCGCCATTAGGCCGGCCAAACAAAAGAAAATACTTAAAAACTCTTCGCCATTATCTTACATCGCATGGACCAAAGATCTGCAGGAATCCAAGATACTACTGAACAAGCCCACCACACGCTTTTGCGATCAACGTTTTCCATAGTAATCATCGAGCAGTACTATTTCTGTTGATCTCAATACATACATAAACTGTAAAATCATTAACAGGCAGAAACTTCTGCAACTTGATTCATGGCGCCTCAAAATCCAGATCCTCTCTTCTTCTTCATCCTTCTCCTTCCCTTCACGAGCTCACTCTCTTTCAACTTCTCATCGTTCAGTCAGAACACTCTGAATTCGATAGAATTTCAAGGTGATGCATTCTTGAACCAAGTCATTCAGCTGACAAAGAATGAGCTCGGTGTAAATATCACCCAGAGTACAGGAAGAGTTTTGTATCGTGAGCCACTTCTTCTTTGGGATTCAAACACCGGTGTGGTAACTGACTTCACGACACACTTTTCATTCATCATCAACGCCTTTGATAATCCGATATATGGTGATGGGCTCACATTTTTCCTTGCACCTTATCCTTCTCTCCTTCCTAGTAACTCGTCTGGAGGTAACCTTGGTCTTTTTAGCGAAAATTCATCTTATCAAGCAAATAATAGTTTCGTGGCGGTCGAGTTTGATACTTTTCAGAATGAATGGGATGCGAGTACTGATCATGTAGGAATTGATGTCAATTCGATCAAATCTGTTGCTGCGATCAAATGGAGTACTAGTATGAAGGATGGGAGAATTGGGAATGCTTGGATTAGTTACAAGGCCAGTTCTAAAAACTTGAGTGTGTTTTTGACCTACGAAAACAGCCCAGCTTTCAGAGGGAATTGGAGCCTTTCTACTGTTGTTGATCTGAGGGAAAAATTACCTGATAAAGTAGCAATTGGCTTCTCAGCATCAACAGGTCATGCTACTGAGATCCATAACCTTTTATCATGGGAATTTGACTCAAATCTGGCGGTTAAAAAGAAAAAAAAGATAGGGAAGGTTATGGGAGTGGTTGTCTCAATAGGAGTTACAATGTTTGCCTTGGGCTTAGTCTGGTTTATTTTGCGGAGAAGAAAACCGAGAAAGCAAGCGCAGAATGAGGAGTTTGAGTATGATGCAAGCCTTGACAATGAATTTGAGAAAGGGAGGGGGCCGAAAAGATTTTCCTTTACTCAATTGGTTGAAGCTACAAAGAACTTTGCCAAAGAGTTGAAGCTCGGAGAAGGAGGATTTGGAGAGGTCTACAAGGGTGTTCTAAATGATTCGAAGCTTGAAGTTGCAATTAAAAGAGTCTCTGCAGGTTCAAAGCAAGGTAAAAAGGAGTACATGGCTGAAGTTAAGATTATAAGCCAATTAAGGCATCGAAACTTAGTTCAACTCATTGGTTGGTGTCATGGGCAGGGAGAATTCCTACTGGTATATGAGTTCATGCCTAATGGAAGCCTCGATTCTCATATCTACAACAAAAACCACTTCTTGGCTTGGCCTCTAAGATACAAAATTGTGCTAGGTTTAGCATCTTCCTTGCTCTATTTACATGAAGAATGGGAGCAATGTGTAGTTCATCGAGACATCAAACCAAGTAATGTGATGCTTGATTCTATGTTTAATGCAAAATTGGGGGATTTTGGGCTTGCAAGGCTCGTTAATCACGAAATTGGATCACAGACTACTGTTCTAGCTGGAACAATGGGATACTTAGCACCTGAAATTGTAACCACTGGTAGAGCTAGTAAAGAATCTGATGTCTATAGTTTTGGAGTTGTTGCTCTAGAAATTGCTTGTGGTAGAAGACCAGTTGATCCAAAGGAGAGTTTAGGTAAAGTGAAATTGGTAGAGTATGTTTGGGATCTCTATGGCAAAAGAATGATGCTTGAAGCCGCAGATACAAGATTGAAGATGGATTTTGAAGAGAAGGAAATGGAGAGGTTGATGATTGTAGGATTGTGGTGTGCACATCCTGATCATAATTTGAGACCCTCCATTAGGCAAGCGATCAATGTCCTGAAATTTGAAGCTCCATTGCCAGAGCTTCCGAGCAAAATGCCCGTGCCTGTGTTTTATGCGCCTCCTATTGATATAACTAAGTTTGGATTTATGTCGTCCACTGGAGTTTTGAGTAGTTTGGATTCTGTGTCAACTGGGTATACTTCGAATTCTTCGAGGTTAACTATGTCTTCGAATTCATCTTCTTCTGCTTGCTTGCTGAAATCACACAAAACAGAATTGTAACATTAGATTGCAATAGGTTGGAGGACTTCTTTTGTAATTTCTTTTGTGCTGTAATGATAAGATGAATTTGTTTATGATAATTACCAGTACTGGTGTGAATGTTAGTGTCATTGACTTAGGGGCTGGTACATGGAAGTAGTCTCACGAAGATTCTTAGTAGATTATTGATCATATGGTTAATGGATAACCTTAATGTGCATATAGACGTTCGCATCATATCAGAGTTATTTATATTTTGCATCTTGAATGGGGTTGATCTGTTACTTGTATCGCTTTCAAAGTAAACATTTTTGAAATTGTCAAATGTTGAGTAATATTATACTACTAGAGAGGCATGAAGCATCTACACACAATACGCATTTTTATAAAATTTAAATATATAGATTAACTTTTGCTTCTGTACTTCGACATATTCAACCTCCAAATCTAATGGCTAAAAAAATACAGATGCAAGTATAGAATGAGTCCTAGCGACGCTGCATGAAATGTTTAAGGGGGGAAAATTAACAAAAGTACACAATATGTATTTTAATAAAATTTAAATATATAGATTAACTTGTGCTTCTGTACTTCGACAGATTCAACCTCCAAATCTAATGCCTAAAAAAATACAGATGCAAGTATAGAATGAGTCCTAGCGACGCTGCATGAATTGGCAAAAGCTGATTGAAACGGTTGAAATTATCGAAGAAGCTGATGGAAACTCGGGCAAGAAGGAAGCAGACAAGAGAGGCTTTTTTAGTCGTGCAGCTCTGTTTTGAAAATTCTCTCTGTTTTAGTCTTTGTTAGACTCTGTGGTTTTGTTTCGTAAACTTTAATTATTAAGAATAGTGGCTGCTATTGAGCTGGGCTCGTCAGCTCATATTTTGAACTTTGCTCTCCCCTCCCAGCTTTATGCTCTACTAAAGAATGGTGCAAAGAATGAAACCTCTTTTAGTTATTTAAGTTACCAATCCTTATACTGTTAAGCTATGGGAGACCGTTCTGTAGATATCAAATAGACTTCAGATGTCGTAAACTGTGTGAAATCTGAATGGGTAAACCATCATGTACAAGTTCACGAGTTCAACCTAGTGCTGTATTATATCAACAATTTCAGATTATTCTTCCATCGTGAAATACATACTCCAATGCTTTGGTACAGGAATTTCTCCTGGATTAGCATAATTAAAAGTGATGGTCTCCGTATAACATCATAGAGACGTTTGATTCAAAACTGGTAGTTAGATGCCAAGACTTTGAAACCTTGATTTGATCAATTCTCAGCTCCTGGAATTTGGTTTAATTACCTCCACTTTTGTACTTGTTGCGTATAATGTTTTCTATTTGTCAATGCCAAATTATGTCACTTGGTGACACATCGTCTGATATATTACCTTGATTGACTTTTCAATGTCAGAAGACCCCTTTTAACTTTAAGGTTTTATCATAAAACCGCCTAACGTCCTAACCCCTCGTTATCCCAAATTTTCAGTGGACAAAAATACCCTCCAGAAGGGATTTCACCAGCACGTGACAAAAAAATAGGCTAACACATTAATCTAATTTCTCGCAGAAAAATCCACCCACTGAAATTCCCTAATGGGGGTTATTTTTGTCTACGAAAGATTTGGGATAATGAGCGGTAATGTCATTAGGAGGTTTTATGATAATACCTTAAAGACAAAGGGGTTTTCTGATAACCCCTAAAGTTAAGGGTTTTTATTTGATATTTTAAAAGTTAAGGGGGGTTTTCTGATAATCATCCAAAGTTAAGGGGGCTTTCCTAATTTAAAGTTTTTTTCATACTGTTTAGACTTCATTAGCTGTTTCTGAGAAGACCCCAACATACTATAAGTATCCAATAAACCAAGCTCTGGACAAGTTTTTGCTAAAGTTTCAGTCATGCCTCACTGCAACTTAAAAAATTTTCTCATCTTTGTCTCTTTGTTCCTGCCCTCTGCAAATCCCCTCTCCTTCAACTTCTCAGGTTTCAATCAGACATCGGTATCCTCTTCGATATTACTCCAAGATGATGCTTTCTTCAACCAGAACATCATGCTCAGCAAGAACAGCTTGGCCTCTAACATCACAAACAGCAAAGGGAGAGCAGTATACAATCAACCACTCTTATTATGGAACTCAAAAACTGGCGAGCTCACCGACTTCATCACCCATTTCTCTTTCAGGATCAATTCCTTAGACAAAGAATTCTATGGTGATGGCTTAACTTTCTTCCTCTCATCTTATCCTTCAATTATTCCTAAATTTTCAGCAGGTGGCTATCTTGGCCTATTCAGCAATAATACAGCTTTCAACAAGTCGAAAAATAATCTTGTAGCGGTGGAGTTTGATACTTATCGGAATTCTTGGGATCCAAGCGCTGATCACGTAGGAATAAATGTCAATTCTATCGTATCGGTTACTAACGTTACTTGGAATAGTAGTATCAAAGATGGGCGACTTGCGAATGCTTGGGTCAGTTACAATTCTAGTACTAAAAACTTGAGTGTGTTCTTGACTTATGCTAAAGATCCAGTCTTCAGTGGCAATTCTAGCCTTACTTATCATGTTGATTTGAGTAAAATTCTTCCAGAAAAGGTAGCTATGGGATTCTCAGCTTCTACAGGTAAAGTAGCTGAGCTACATGAACTCTTATCTTGGGATTTCAGTTCCAATCTTGAAGAAGAAACGGAGGGAGCTAAGAGCAAGGTTGGACTTATTGCAGGCTTGACAGTCTCTATTGTAGTTTTAATGACTGTTTTTGTTGCTGTCTGGTTTGTTCATTGGAGGAAGGCAAAGCAAGAAGATTCTGACGGTGAAAATGAGTCCATTGACGATGAATTTGAGAAGGACAAAGGACCTATGAGATTCACCTTCAATGAGCTCGCATCTGCAACGGACAATTTTGCCGGAGAGAGAAAACTTGGGCAAGGTGGCTTTGGAGAGGTCTATAAAGGATTATTGAACAATGAGGATGTTGCAATAAAGAGGGTCTCTGCGGGGTCTAAACAAGGCAAGAAAGAATACATATCTGAAGTCAAGATTATTAGCCGTGTAAGGCACCGAAATTTGGTACAACTCGTAGGTTGGTGCCATAAACAAAGCGAATTCCTCCTCGTTTACAAGTTTATGCCTAATGGAAGCCTCGACGCTCATCTTTACAATCAGGAAAAGTTCTTACCTTGGCCGGAGAGATACAAAATTGCTCTCGGTTTAGCTTCATGTTTGCTCTATCTTCATGAAGAATGGGAGCAATGTGTAGTGCACCGAGATATCAAACCAAGCAATGTGATGCTGGATTCAGAATTTGAAGCTAAGTTAGGTGATTTTGGATTAGCTAGACTTGTTGACCATGAAATTGGCTCTCAGACTACTATGCTTGCAGGCACAATGGGATACTTAGCTCCTGAGAGTATCGAAACTGGCAGAGCGAGAAAAGAATCTGATGTTTATAGCTTTGGGATAGTTGCACTTGAAATTGCTTGTGGGAGAAAACCTGTAGAATTTGGTAAGATAAAGCTATTAGAGTGGGTATGGGAACTATATGGGAAAAGGATGATTTTTGAAGCTGCAGATGAGAGATTAAAGATGGATTTCGATGAGAAAGAAATGGAGCAGTTGATGGTTGTAGGATTATGGTGTGCACATCCTGATCATATTCTAAGACCATCGATCAGACAAGCGATAAGTGCTCTTAAGTTTGAATCTCCTTTGCCAAATCTTCCACCTTCGATGCCAGTTCCAAGATTTGTGGCGCCTTTGATGCAAGATATTTTGAGCGGATCGTCTGTTGCAGGTTCAAGTGGTATGAGTTCTGGTGTCACTGGTTATACTACAAATTCTTCGAATATGACACAGTCTTCAGGTTCACCATCCACTTTCTTGTTGCAATCACACAAATCAGAGACCTGATACTTCTGTGAAGTGTGTGTGGGTTTTTTTTTTGGGTATGTTTGTTCTCTCTTTGTTGTGCATGTATACAGTTTAGTTTTGAACAGTAATTGAACCACTTGATATTTAGCAATTTGTATCGCCTGTATTATTTCATATGATACACACTTTCTGGGTTTGTCGTAGTTCCAGTGTATGAAGAAAAGGATGTAAAATTAGATATTGGGAATGTTAATGAGCGTATAATATTGATAAATATGTGATGAACCATCTTCACTAGATGTTAAGTTGATTTCCAGCTTGCAAGGGGAAAGCATGACTACAATGCTTTGATAACATATCAAGGATCATTTCAAAAACTTTTAACCTATTGATTTGCAGGCTAACAATATATAGAAAAAAGTTCACACTAATTTTGGATGATGCAAATCATGATTAAATTAGGGAGTAAAAAAAAATCTGCCGATTGAGATGATGATCTAGACCTTACAGAGAATACTTCAAATAATAAGATATGAGGCAAACCACCCTATAAATTATTTTGGATGGAGGAAAGTAGTAGTTGAACTAACCCCCACCAAAGTAATGAACAGCCTTATACATGGGTGAGGTGTTTCATATATGTTTGTATTTGCTCTTTACGTTTTTAGCTTTCACATACATCTTGCTTATATTTTCGCCAAGTGTTGCCGTCTTGTTACCTTAGAGGCTTTAAATAAAATAATGATCATCTAATAGGGGACACCGGAGGTATTCTACAATTATTAATGAATAAGGTGGGTGAATGAAACATGAAAACAAGCTTCATGGGCTACTTTTCTTTTGCCTTCCTCACACTTGTCCCTGCTGTTTTTGCAGTTTATCATTTTATATATTTATTATTATTGTTATTTTATTATGAGTGGTGTGGGTAAGTGAGGTTGATGCAGCCTCTAAACCCTATGAACCTTAAAAAAAATCAGGATTTGTATAGTCAAACCAAACATAACCCAAAACATACTGTACGAAGAATGCAATATTAAGCGGCAAAATGCTGCAGAATACACGATCAGAGTAAGCCAAAACGGAAAACTTAACATAGCAGCATACGAATGTTACATTGCTTAATTAACATTCCAGTTTTACAACTTAATGAAATACCTAAAACTAAGCATGCATACACAAATAAACAATGCTATCTGACAAGCCTTGTCCCATATGTAATCTATATACAGCTACATAATCACGTCAACTGACAGAAAATTGTAGGGTTGATAAGTGAATCCAGAATATAATCCCTTGAACCTAAGCCCAGGATCCGATAAGTTGCAAACTTCGGAAAACAACAATGCTAAACCCATCATGAAACTTGATTCAATGAAAATTTGCAGCCAAAGCCAATTATAATCTCAATTAAATAGGTTTGTAGTCTTGCACATACCACTTACATGGCAAATGGCAACTTGTTAGTAATCTAGCATTCTCCAATACGGGATTAATTGAAAGTAACTGCTTGCAACAATGTTCTTGCCAATGGGAAGTGATAACGTGCAATCCTGGAGAAATGACCACGTGTATTAAGATCCCGCATTTTTCAATGCGGGGTCAGGATATATTGAATTTACCTGAACCAATAGCTTACTATGAGTTCTTAGATGATGAAGAGAAATAGTGAGCAATGGTTGATCCTCGTTTAGTGGTATTAGAACGCTTAGAAGGCCGAAGCCAGCCCCGGACTTCCTTTTGGATTTCCAGAGGCAGCTCATCAATAACAGAAGGGTCAATGTCCTCAACATTTAGAGCCCATGTGTTACTTCTCTGAAAATTTTGATGCACATTCTTGCCCTCTGCCAATGTACCTCCTTTATGCACAGTTTGATTCAACATTGAACAACTCTCACTTCCTGAGATAACACTTGTCTTATGGCAATACTGAAACTGGAGATCTAGAAAATAGAATTAAGAAATGAATGTGCCCTGATCATACCAGAAGATGGAGGTGCATGATCTTGAGTGAACGCATTGTATGCTTGATCTGTTGAATGAGAGTTGGTCCCTTGAAAGTACCTCAATATGGAACATGATCCCTAAAAAAATAATTGACCAGCATAGAACGCACTAATATTAATATAAAACTACTACTTATGACAAGTTCACGCAGTTATATGAGAAGCACCTATCTAAAAAAAGATTTGAGATTTCCTGTATGTTTGCTGAAAGCAATTATTATATATTTAAACCGAAGATCAAGTCATAAAAAGTTTTAGTATGCCTTCTAGCAAGTCAAAAATGAACCTACAACAATGTAGATGCATCAAAAAATATTTCAGACATTTTTTTTAGACCTTCAGTGGTTAGCATTGTTGAAGTAGCTTACAGTAACCTTCAGGCATTGCATGGGATGTTAAACAAGTCAATAAGTATGAAAACATTTTGCTACAAAAACAAGACCATCTGAAACATTCATCAGATGGTGGATGCCCTCAGATAATGGAATAAGAAAGAAGAGTACCTTATCTTTTGCCTTTCTGTCACTAGTTGGAAGTGTTCTATCTTGATTTATTGTGCAATTAGTTTTGCTAGTCACTTCACAATCAAACCTTATTTGTTGCTCATCGTCATTGCTTTCCGTAGTGTAACTTTTGATCCCTGAATGACACCTAAAGTCACATGTGGGGATGGAAAAACATGAAACAAATATGTAATGTGTGAAGAATAAAAGAGAGACCTAAGGCAATAGGGGAGAACTCATCTTGGACGAACACATCAGATCCATTTAATGGAGTGGAAGAAACACTTTTGCCTGGGAAGAACTTCAAAATTGAGCATGTTCCCTAAGAAAAGAAGATGGTCATACGAACCACACAACAGGTGTTAGATCTAGCATACTAATAAAAATTATATGTGCATACAAGTGTATCGATATTTCTGCAGGCACCCTGATCAAGCCATTATAAGAGGAACGGTTTGGTTGCCTTGCGTCTGATACAGATTAATAGTTCATTGTGTAAGTCGCTATATTTATGTGCACCAAAGCTCCGTATGTAAATATTCTACCTAAATCAAAGTCACTGGAAAATGTAAAAATGGAAGGAAAAAACTTATGAATTTCGTTAAGCTTGTGCGTCATTATAGTTTAATATATGAGGTGATGCCCAAGTTAAGGCAGAGAACAGTTGTAATTTTTTGTACGAAAGGCATTTTCATTGACAAAACATGTCATAAAGATTAAAATAAAGAAAATCAGCATCAGGTTAGGGAGAGAACAATCATAGACCTGTATTATACTAAAATTTGACAAATCTTGAAATAATGTTTCACAGCACAACTTACTGATGGTGTGTCTAATATTTTGCTTGCTGCAATAGATAGTGATGTGATGCCCCATCTGCTGTTCTGAGAACCTAAGAAATCCTTAAGGGCAGAATCAAATAGTTTTTTAGCATCTTCTTGAATTTTCACAATACCATAGCGCAATGGGCAGGACTTTGATGGGAATTTCCTCTGGGACTCCATATCATTTGCCTGAAAAAGAAAATGCAATTTCCATATTTTTGTATGTGGCAATGTACATTAAGCATTCAATACCAACAAAACTAGAGGAAAGAGACAGTATCAGCTAGACAATTACAGCCCATACTTTATATGCACTGGCATGTAGGGTCAGTGTATGTGCCACTCGTTTATGATGGTCGAAATCAGACTGAATGCGTTCACTTAGTTCTTCGGACAGTTGATTGAGCCAGTGTTCAACCTGAGACACTCCAAAATTTTGGATAAAACAAATAAGATAGTGACAATTTTCAAAAATGCTCGAGTACCAGGAAGCTTTCATGACATAAGATAATGAAGTTTAAATTATTCACAGAAATGCTTTAGTATCCGATAACTGTCTTCAGCAAAGGTAAATTATCATATTTGCTCATGTATTCTCAGCAATGCTAAAGTATCAGCACCGCGAAATCCAAAGTTGTTCCCAGCAACCAAAAAGTATCGGATAATAACAAACATTTGTAAATTTAGGAAAAAAATATGGTGGCTTGCGCCGAGGACAGTGCATTCAAATGGTAATGGGGTAGAACATATTGATTAAATAATTAATCATCAGAGTTCACAGACTAACACCTGAGGGCTCAAGTTAGAGCAAGCAAATTAACGGTACATAAGTATGGTAGCATGGGACTCTAAAAAAAAGATTGATGTAAAGCCTGCAATTGCATCATAATGCAGGAAATAATCACCAGAAAAAAAAAAGAAAAGAAAAACTGCACAAAATGGGTCATAAACAAACATTATAAGTGCAAAATGAAGGCAAAGATATAAAATAGAGGTCAAAGGCAACATCCAGACTGTGTTTGATTGAAGAGGAGGTGAGAGAAATATGGTAAAACGCAAAGAGAAGAAAGGAAAGAAAAATTAAGGAATCTTATTTACAATATTCAGGACTGAGAAAGTTGGGGAATTAATTGAAGAAAAAGCAAATCTTACAGTACAGGAGACTTGGTCTTGACAGATTTGATTAAGATTTGGTCAAGTTGTAAAACTAGAATATTAATTAAGCAATGTAACACTTGTTAGGGATAAGAAAAAGCATATAAGTTTTACATTTGCTTACAACTTGAGAAAGACCTAGTGAGGCCTTCACTAGACTTTATCTTTCTTTCACAAGTTAGGGATAAAAGAAATCAGAAAGGAAATCCTTGCTTCCATCTATCCTCTATTGCGTGCAAAACATGGAAACTAATTTTCTTCTCATTTTCTTTTTCATCCCCTCATGGTACTTCAGAGCTGTGCACAGTCTAGGGATAGCCCATATTAATGTGAACATGAAGTGTATTAGTGGATAATCAGATAAAATGAATAGATACAAATCTGTTATGCAATAAATTTGGTAGAAAACTCAAAGCAGATTCTTACAGAAGCAGTAGTTTTCAATGCCTGTGGTCCACGAAATGTTTTTCCACAAGCATGGCTCTTTGGTAGAACACGGCCCTCAACTTCTTCTCCATGTGGTCCACGAAATGTTTTTCCACAAGCATGGCTCTTTGGTAGAACACGGCCCTCAACTTCTTCTCCACTAATACCTCTTGCAATAGTCCATAGCCATGTGCTATAAGTAAATCAAATAAGAGAAAAATGAAATTGAAAATATTAGAAGGAAAAAGATAGTCAAAGGACATACACAATAATTGATACGGCATCACAAACTCATACATCGCTGTAAAAAAACAGTAGTTTGTTACATATGATGCAAATATTAAAATTGTTATACTCTCAATTCAGTAAGGAGGTACAAGATGACAAATTTCATAAAAGATATGCAAAAGAATTGCAATTACATCTAGCATCAAATTAAGAAACATATATGAAATAGTTCAATCCGAGCAAATAGGTACCATATAGTTCACCAAAAGGTCCATCTTCTGAGTAACTTGACGTAAAGTGAAACAAAAAGTAGATGGTGGATATAGTTACAGAGGCAAAAAAAAAGAGGTTCATAACCTTCTCCAGCACATCTTAATTGTGTTTATAATTTCACCGAAGTACTTAATTAAGTAGCCTACAGAGAAAAAAAAACATAAGTTCATGTCAGTTTGACCCTCATTCTTCTTGAAAAGTGTGACAGTCTGCAGTATTTCAAATGACACATAAGTTCATGTCAGTTTGACCCTCATTCTTCTTGAAAAGTGTGACAGTCTGCAGTATTTCAAATGACATTCATGAGTACTATGAGTGTACTTTCATTCTTCTTGAAAAGTGTGACAGTCTGCAGTATTTCAAATGACATTCATGAGTACTATGAGTGTACTTTTTTCAAGCAGCGCTCCACTTATAATACTATAATAACTGTATGTGTTTGTATCAAGCATAAGAAGATTTTTGGAAGAAATTCTTTCTTCACAAAGATTACTTAGTCGATGATCTCACAGTAAGGTTTCCCTAGGCAGCAGTTTTCAAGCATTTGGAGCCATAACTTTCTAAGTTACAAGTAGTCAATATTTCAACACCAGACTTCATTCTCTAGTACCACAAAACTTGACAACACAAGTTCTCAATATCATGCATTCTATTTTGAAATAGTTTTTAAAATTAATTATTTTCAAGTAGAAACTTTTAACTAGCTAGCTTATGAACGGAGGTTACAACATCACAAGTTTTCCGGCTTCTTCGTAGCAGTCAATTGTTGTTGATTTAATCATTTAACTTGCTAAATACTTAATTCTATAACTTTTGGTATATAAGTAAAATTGGTTGTAACATATGTCATCCCAGCTTGGCAATTTGACTTTAGTCCTTAATAAACCCATGAAAGACTGAACATACAGGTCATACAAGCATATCCTTATCCTTCAATCATGGTAACTAAACCAAGTCACCCACCCTGTGTTAATGCCATAAAGCTCTTGTAACTTTTCTTCAGAGAAATGTAGAAGATCACCAACAGTATTCACTCCGAGATCACTTTGCAAAGAGCTTCCAAGTTTTCCTCCAAGCTGTTTCCTATGAGGTACACAAACAGCCAGCTGCAATTAAGTGAATACTAATTTTGCAGGTGAAGAAAAATACTGTTAAAATGTCATATGCCAGAAGCATCGCAACATTTAAAAGAATGGCTGGTAGGTATAATTTTCACTAAATGATACCATGGTAATTAGCACTTGTATTATTACATTTTCTTCACAGGCAAGGTAGCTAGCAGGTCCTTTACTGATGAAGATGGTACAACTGTTTGCTGTGCAGGTTTATTCATCGCGCTTGCTAGTTTTGCTAACATCTGTCATATGCCACATTCAGAAGCACATGTAAGTGATTGGACCAAAACAGAAAACCCGACAGCAAAGATATAGCAATAAACTAACAACGAAAAAAAACTAAACTGCTGATTTTTACAACCAAAATGACGAATAAGACAACATTTTGTAATTTGGTCTTCTGTATAAGGCTATAAGCTACGAAACTGAAGCTTAAAGCAAACAAGGGTGTAGAACTCGCATTTTAGTCAAGCTACCTTATTGTGCGCAATGCCAGCTGAACATGTGAATTTGGTTTCCTCCAACACTTTCATGCGAAGATGTGCCACTATAATGGCCCCGCAAGCTAATAGCTTATCCCGATGATCGGCATCACTTTGATAGAACCACTCTCTCACTTTAGTTGCCCTGTCATCTTCATCCTGAAAAGTGCCAAGTTCAGTATAGACTTCAAGAATCAAGACTGCCGAGGAACTTTTCCTTGAACAGTACTAAGTTGCCAAAAAAGAGCCCTATGCATTATGAAGGATCCATCTAGAGGAACAATCTTATTTAAGTTTCAATTATTTCAAGTGATATTTAAGATATGCAGAAATATACTAAAGATATGCATATACTTGCAGAAAATAGATAATAAAGGTTTATGACTTACAGCAGTCACACCCAGAACATGTGATTTCAACACCTCCTCATCTATCTCCTCCAACACCTCAGGAGGAGTTTCTAATAACATTGATTCAGCAGCCTCAGTTAAGTCAAGATAAACTTCATCAATTGATGCTCGTTCACATCTTCCTTTTGAAGACAGTATGCTGACGACCTGTGACACAGACACCACCGAAAAATTTGTCGAGAAAAATCACAAACATCAAAATTTTCGAAAAAACTGTTAAGTTTATCAAAACATCAAAGTTCAAACCTCAGAGCCAGCATTTCGATATAAATTCAAATCGGCTTTACCACGGGCAACCGGAACCTGAACTAAATTGATATCTGGGCAGACCTCCTTCGCCTCGTCTCCTCGCATAGAGCTGAGGGTCTTGGGTTAGTAACACAATTGAGCCTCTCTGAATGTGAAAATGTTACTGCTAGAAAAATAATCTCACCGTTTAACGCCAAATTTACGAGCTTCGTAGCTTACTGCAATCAAGCCTCCACCTTTCCAAGAGTTATACTGCACTACAGCAGTAGGCAAACCCCTAAGTTCAGGTTGCCTTCGTTGCTCCACTACAATATGAAAAATACACAGACCAAATTAGTATACTCTATTATAGGAAATGAGTAAATTATCCAAGATTAGAACTTTAATTTTCCCTATTTTAGTAAAAGAGGATTAGTAATTGGTCATAGATCGATTTAGGGTTCAATTAAATTTACACGAAACACTGCTTTATGAAATTAAAGAGAAGTGGAATGTATTTAGTAGGAAGAACCGAAACCCTAAAAAATAACAGAATTGGGGGTTTAGAGAAGGATACCTTGGACGTAGAAGCAATCCATGTCGACGTGAGCGATTACACGAGCATCTAGAGGCTCCGGGCGCGCGATCGGCATTTTTTTCCCCTTCTCTGTTCCCTCCTAAAATGGGAGTCCGGGGTTTTCGTTGAGAATGGAATTTACCATCTCTGCAATATTCAGTGGGCTTGAATTGGCGAGACTACTGGCCCAACCAAGTGTAACTATTAACAGTGTTTAGGTGGTTTCTTTTCTTTTTTTTTGGTTAATTTCACATAAACGCCCTGATCTTTAGGGGTGTTGCACATAATACCCTTAAACTTTATTCATCTCACATAACACATCTAAACTTTGGGGTGTTTCACAAATATCCCTTGAACTTTAACCTTACACCGTGTGACCCTTTTGCCAGTAAGATGAAAATAACTAAAATGTTTTTGAGAGAAAAGTTCCAAAAGTTATCACTCGTCATTTATACAGACAACATACCCCCTCCCTTAAATTTTGGGTTTTTTGCTCTTGAGAAAATTTTATTTATTTGCAAATTATTTGTAGGTCGGTCCGGTGAAAAAGGTTGAAGTTTAGGGAGAGTTATGTGAGACACCCTAGATCATGGGGGTTATGTGAGATAAATAAATTTTACTGGGTTACGGCCTACACCCCCAAGGTTAAGAAAGATTTGTGGAATTAACCCCTTTTTACTCTCTTTTCTCCTTTCTTTCTTTTCTTTTTCTTTTTCTAATAAAGTGCTTGGGATATAAAACTGGCTTTTACACTGGAAAATGTATATTCAAAAAGATTTTTTTTCCTCTTAAATTTTGTTTTTTCTTTAGTTCAAGGATAAAGAAGACTTGATGCGGCAATGATAAGTTCGGTAAGAGAACAAGCTATATTGAAAGCGTAAATACTTTCTTAGGAGGTCTCTTCTTATATCCTTAAAGTTCGAGGTCCTTAAAGTTTGAGGAGATAAATGAAACTGATTGAACTTTAATTCATGTGGAAAATTTGATTTTCATGGGTATGACAAGTTGAATTCATATATATTAATTACCAGAGCTTATTTCCGATATTTCAATTTCCATCATATTGAATTGTTGGAAGTCTGATTGTGATCTCCGTTCCGTTAAGAAAGTATCTAGTGAGAACGACCCATGACATTAAATATGCATCTGAAGGATGTCAACTGTTGAATCCGAACACAAATTTCAAAATCTAATGATCCAACGGTTGACATCATTTGGATACACATTTGATACCGTGAACCCAGTTGCACTTAATATTTTTCCCTGCTCCAAAACAAGTTATAGCTTTTAGAGGGAAACAAGAAAATAATTAATTAAATTTGACAAGATTTATGGGCCTTATGGCGACAAAGTATCATAAAGAGGCAAATGAACTGACTGTAGCATATTATCAAAATTAGACACTCGCTGGGCTTATACACAAACGTGCATCCCAGTCTCTTCTCCTCACTAATTAACCCAAGCATTGCCATTTACAAACACAACCCCCTCTTCTTTTAACCATTCGTCCCACCCCTCAACCATTAACCACGCCCAAAATCTCGGTAGGCGGGATAAAACAATCAACAGACAACCCAGGGACATTAAACACCACATCCTCAATCCTCCACTCCTCCTCCATCCTCGTCCTACTCCTACTCCCCGACCCCTCTCCAAACCGAAACACCGTCGCCACCGTCTTCCCTCTATGTGCAACAAGCACTCCGTCGACCCCTCGGTAGTCCTCGATCGTGGTCCCGATGGTCGTCTCCCAGTAACTGGCGTCGGATCCCGGGGTCTGGACTCGAGTCAGGTGCGAGTCCTCGATGTAGATGAGTAGACCGCTTCGCTGGCTGAAGTAGCCGTAGAGGACGTGACGGATGACTTCGGCGTGGGCATCGCTGCGCTCCGCGACGGCTGCTCGGTCCGCGGATACTTTGAGGACGAAGCAGTTGTCGTTGTTGACGCGTTTCTCCCCTAGGCACTGGGCTTTTGTGAACATGCTCGCCGTGCTCTTTGGATCCAAGCCCTGTGTTTTCATTTGCAAAATTGTAAACCTCGAGTACTATTGAATGGTGAAAAATTACATGATCATATGAGTAATCATCATAAGTACTTCAAAATGGAAAACGTCTGCAGTTTAGTGGATATAATCATAAACTGGGTTATTTCGATATTAGTCCCTTCAATCAATCCTCAAATCATTGAATTGCTATTAGGTCCCCCAGTTTTAAATTTATTTTAAAATTAGTCCCTAAAATCATTGAAATTGCTATTACATCCCCATTCCGAATATGTTGTTTCAAATTAATCTCTCCAATTGCTACTCTACTTTTGATCGCAGGGACTAATTTGAACCATTTATGAGAATTTGGGGACTGGATAACAATTTCAATGATTCGAGGAATCAATTTAGAAATACTAAGCTTTAAGGGACTACTATTGAAATAACCCTTATAAATTTTTGCAGTGTTTTTGTAAATTTAACTTAACTGTCAACATATACTATAATAATGGACTCTACCTTATTGTTTATAGAGTTAGTCCAATATGTAGATACTGTTTTCACACGACTGACTGAATCTAGGTTAGGCCTGGTCCAAGTTGCAATTTGGAGGGACCATGAGTACTTTTATTTTGAGGATGAGTTGTTACTTGTTAGGTTTGTCTCAACCCCAAGAATGTTCTTCATTCTGTCCTGACCCTTCACCTAACATATTTGGCATATTATTGGTTCTCAGACTTTGAAATACACAATGAAAACCGCAAATAAAATAGTAAAAATACTATCACAACTTTGAGTGATTCAGTAATGCCAGATCGAGAAAAGTATGAAGCTTTAACAAATTACATTCGAGAGTTTCAAGGTTTTTTCAATGGTCATATTGCAGACGTCCTTTTTCGTGTTGAGGGTTATGTAGATGCTTTATGTAGGTTGGGCGGTCTTTTTTCAGCTCAAACGCGAGTATGAACATGGATGTGCAAGAACGGCGGGTATAAGCTTAGCAAGGCCGCCGAAAAAGATGTTAAACGATGAAGCAGAATACACCCTTTATGTTAGCCTGACTACAAGCCAATAAAAAGGCTCAAGTCAATCGTCAACGGAGAATCTTATAAATCCGGCAGTTGATTCTTTTCAAGAGTGGAGAATTTTTTTCAATATTTTAGTTGTTACAGACCAGTTGTAATTCTTATAGTTGGTTGGAAGCCGTGATCCGGTAGATGGGTCCTGTTGTGAATGTTGGCTAAAATGACGAAGAGAGCTTTGGCCGGACCATATCGGAAATGTTTGTTATGGTTACTATCGATGAGCAATACGCAAGAAGAACCGTTTCTTTAACGTTTCTGACCGAAAAATGGAAATTACCCAAAGCCGCCGGCTGTTTAAATGTCTGTTTGTGGAGGATAAGAAGCCCCTAAACTCTAGGTATATGTCACATTAACTAGAGTTGAGATTACGCCGTGGATGGATGGTCTTGCAGAGGGGTCGGCTGGGCGGGGCGCCTCTAGCAGCAGTTCATTACCCGAGGCCCGGTAATAACCCCCGCAACTATTAGGACTGTGCGTCTTCCTCGTCCAAACGCACTGGCACCACACCATTTTTTTGCCGCGGGTGCTCACCGACGCAAGCCACTTGTACCCTCATCCACCATCTCCCATCTCATGCACAGTAAGCCACTCCTGCGACATCTGTCCACTCAACGGCGAAGCAGAGCCGTTTCCTCCCCAACCACTACATTTTCCAGGCGGCTCAGATCTCCTCTGATCGACCCTCCCCGACCCGTTCTCTGTCTCGCACCGAACCATTTTCACGCTTCCAGCCGCATACATACTCTTTTTAAACTGCAGTTTCATGCAACTGGTAGCTGCTAGGTACTGATGAATTATGTACCTAGCCGATAAAGTTTCCTACAGAATAACAAAAAAGTTTAGTTAATGCTTTTCCTAATGTACCAAAATTTCGAAGATTTAATATAGGGCTAATTGCCGATAGACCCCCCTGTAGCTCGTGCCTTTGCTTTGAACTTATTGCCTCTCTAGTTTTTTTTTTTTTTGTTGAAAATAGCTATTCATATCCTGAGCGAAATTTTTTTTTTACCACTCACCCTCAGGGTTCTGTTTGTCAAAAACAAAACGGTTCTCTCTTTCTCTCTTAGGGTAAACGAGTCAAAAAAATTGCTAAGGGGTCTATCTAATAAAAATAAACCAGAGAGGCAGTAAGCTCAAAGCAGCGATACTACGAGGGTCTATCCGCAATTAACCCTGTAATGCAAGTTAATACTCGTACTATTGGGCTGTCATTGAGGGTGTTTCCCAGAGTAAAGGGGTGAGTCGGCTGATCAGAAGGCCAGGGAACTGGAGCAAGTGGAGATCCGAGAACTCCGAGAACCAGCCTCAAATCCAATCCCTTCAACGAATGTAAGTGACTTCCAGATTGCGACCGAACCCAAGTTCGGATCACTTCCCAGGATTTCTCCTTCTTGGCTCTGGATTCACCCTGTGCTCCAGGGTCGGGACCCTCCATTAACGGTGTTAGAGGCTGCACACACCAAACCTGACTCTGTTTCTGGCTCTTTGGACCCATGAACTTCAATGGCAATGATGGCACAGGAGAAAATTTTTGAGGGAGGAGAATTAAGCACAAGACAAACCGAAAAGCCTTGAAGGGATTGGTTTTTGTTGGATCTGGTGACAGATATAGTAACTGGATTTTGAAGGGAAGGTCTTGGGAAGAGACAAAAAGAGACAGCTTATCTGTCCAACGGCAAAGAATGAAAATTTAAATTGATGGAAGCTCTCCCTTTAACTTTAGTCCCTGAAAACAAAGCTTCTTTTGAGGCACTCTCTTCTTTGCTTTATTGTTGGTGGTGATGGTTTCGCACGTGACGTGCCCATGGCCTTGTAGATTTCAAGTTTTGCTTTTGGTTAAGGATGAAGTGGTTCCTTGAAGGGATGTTAAGTGTGGATTAATTAAGCTAATTATGCCTACTAGTAGAGCTGAATTGAGTATGCTTCATAGAGTACATATTAACTGTGGATTAACTTAAGTTAATTATGCGTACTTAAAGAGCTGAATTAGTTGAGTGTGCTTCTTAGAGTACATACTAGGATTCTTCAAACTAGTTTTATTTTAATAGGATGCATTCTTCTAATAGACTTGATGTTTTCTAAATTAGGATTTATGTAGTCTATAATCCATTTAAGTGTATGCATAGAAGTTAATGAGTAGAATTTTGGACGATTTGGATCTTACGTATTGCTACTATTTAGACAGCGGAGAAACCATATATATATCTTTAATCATAACCACTCAATAATACTTAGATGGCTGTGATTCATTCTTAGCATTATATTTCTGGTGAATTGTCGAATCGTAGTGTTCATTAAATTTGCGAACGGTTATGTTGCATGTATTTTGTCATCCCATATAAATTAGTTAAAAACAGCAATTATTTATATCTGAATTGATATGCTTGATTTCAGATTGTGCTATTTGAACTGCCTATATCCATGCCCCTTCCAAATCTAATCAATCTGCAATATATAGATCTCAAACATATATTTCAATAGTTTTCTGATGTACAACGTGCAAATGTATCATCACTCGGATGCCCCATCTATGATAAGAACAATTAGGGGTTTTTTTTTCACATAAACCACCTTTAAGGTAGGTGATTCTACTAAAACCACCAATCTATGATAAGAACAATTAGATTTTTTTTTTCATGTAAACCACCTTTATGACATGTGATTCTAATAAAACCACCTTCAAAGTTCAATTTACACAGAGAGCACCATTAAACGGGGGCCTGATTGCAATCAACCACATTGACCTATTTTTTGATGAAATTTTGACTAAAATTCCCAAAATACTCTTCAAAAAACACACGTGTCAGACGTATGACATGCATTCTTAACCAAGCGGTTAACACGCATTTTCTTGACACACCTTCTTAACCAAGTGCTTAACACGTGTTTTTAAAGATATTTCAGTAATTGTAGTGAAAATTTCATCACAAAAATATGTCAAGACAGTTGATTGCAATCGAACCCTCTTTATTGGTGGTTTATATATAAATTAAATTTTGAAGGCGGTTTTCATACAACCACCCTATTTTAAAGGTGGCTTTTATGGAAAAACCATTTTATACCAGAAGATCATAGAAACTTAACAACATCACATTTTCAATATAAATGAGTAGATCAAACTACAGACAAAACTCGCGTTTGCACATCATGTGATGCAATGGAGAAGTTAGCAGAGAGACATCAGCCCCCCTGTGCAAAATTGTGCTGGACTGGGTAAACAGTCAGCATCTAGCAATGGTGATCTTGGAAGCTAAGGTAAGTCTCAATTGTAACTGTTTTAGTAAGGTTAACAGCATCTATCAATGGTGGGCTTTGTTCAAAAATTAGTGAGATCAGGACCCTTGAACAATGGGAAAGAGGAAAAGGAAAGGAGTTGGCAACGATATTGTTTAATTAGTTTTGATCTCTTTGTTCCCTAAAGATGTGCTCATTACTTCATTAACCACTTGGTTTAAGGGTGTTTGATTTGAATAATTAATGAGAAGATTATGAAGTGGTGTTGTGTTATTGGATAATAAACTATTGCCATGTCAGATTGTTGGTGATCATATACAAGTTCTGATTTGGCATCTTTCATTTGAAAATTAGAAAGAGAACAAAAGGAGAAATTTTTGGTGGACCGATTACTGGAAAGATGGACGAGGGGCAGAGATTGTTCTTGAGGGGCGGAAGTTGGAAGGTGCATAAGTCATTCATTATTCTATGCAAAGGAATAATTTAGTTTGACGTGCAAGTGATTGCCTATGATTTATGCAACATCAGGGCATTATATGGCTTTGTTTGGTGTTTTGCGGCTGGCTTGATTGCCTCTTTAGGCCTCCCCTTGATCTAGGGAAGTTTGTAAATTTGTACAAAGTACGACAAGACAAGTTGTCTGCATGATTTGTATTATTAATAATGGAACAAGTAGTTATAGAGAAATTTGTGAATTAGATAAAGTATGTACGTGATTTTATACCGAGCGAGGGGGGAAGAAAGAAGTGCAATACAAGCTATAAGAATAATTATTAAAAGATGAAACAGCCTAATATCTATTTGTGGATAAAGTATCACACCATTAAGGCTCCTATTAGAACCAATCCGCAAAGAAGTGGGGTGGCTTGTAGAAGAGTTAATTTTTACAAATTAATTTTTTTTATCAATCATGAATAGTGTAGATCACCCCATTCTATAGGATTGTTCCGATAGAATCTGCACTCGTTCACGCCACTTAATATGGTCATCTACTACAATATGGGGTAATATTGTCATACCAAAATTGTGAACGAGGGGAGCGTGGGGGCCACACACCCATTCACGCAGGCCGCACACCCATTCACGCGAAAATCAAAACAGCAGAGGCCCACCCATTCACGCGAATATCAACCCATATCTGATTTTTCATTTGTCGCTTCTATATAATCCCGTTGCTTCCTAGGTTTTCGTGCAGAGGGAGAAAAACGCAGACAACAGAGGGTATTTGGCGGTTGTTTTTGAGAAAAAAACAGAGAGATCTTGAGGAGAAGAAAAATAGATTTTACAAGAGAGAGGTCAATTTCTTTTGGGTAAAAATTAGATCTTCTTATTTGAGACGAGCTTGTGGATTGTACAAGTCGTTGATATTCTCCTCATAGTGGAATCTCCCCTCACCCCTCCTGTGGACGTAGGCAAGTTTGCCGAACCACGTAAATCCCGTGTCTTTATTGTTTTCTAGATTTTGGCTATTGCTTGTAGGTTCCATCGATAAGTCAGTCCTAGAACTGATGAGAGGAAGAGTGTATATTTTACTTTATTGAGATATTTCACTTTATATTCTTGTTTCCTTTGTGAAACGGAAATATAGAGGTTGGCTTGAGTTTTTTGTGAAAACAAAAGCGAGGGCTTTCTCTTAGGTTATATCGCTTTCGCGGCGTGAGGGTGTGACTCTCTCCCCCCAACAATTGGTATTAGAGCCCTTTTATTCAGATTGGAGGTGGTAAAATTTCTGATCTGAGGTGGTGCTTGATTATTGTGTGGTGAACACAATGTATTTGTTGGAATTTCTGAGAGAAGCGAATTTATTAATACAAGCAGAAAATAGCGTCAACAAGTAAAACAGTTAAAATTAGAAAGTACGAGATCGAAAAGTTCAATGGGAAGAATGATTTTTTCCTATTGGAGGATACAGATGAAAAACTCGTTGATTTCGCAGAAATTGCATAAGGCTTTGGCTGGAAAAGAGAAGAAGCACAAGGATATGTCTGATGAGGATTGGGAGGAGCTGGATATGAAAGCACGGGCGTCGATTATCCTTTGCCTTGAAAGGGATGTAGCTTTCTTGGTAGATGGAGAGAAAACGGCTGCGAGCGTGTGGTCAAAGTTAGAAAGCACATTCATGACGAAGAGTCTAACGAACCAGATCTATTTAAAATCCAAATTGCATACTTGTAAGATGGAGGATGGCTCATCAATCCGGGAATACATCAACAAGTTCGATAGGATAATATCGAATTTGAAGGACATTGATGTGACTATAGTAGACGAGGATCAGGCTCTTCTACTACTTCTATCTCTACTGAAGTCTTATGAGAACCTGGTGCAAACACTAATGCTTGTGGGAGATAATTTAACGATGGATGAGACTAGAACGATGCTTCCAACGGATGATATTCGAAAGATTGCAACCAGTGACATGACTACAGGTGGTAGCAAAGAACAAGCGCATGGATTGTTTTCTAGAGGAAGGAGCAATGAGCGAGGAAAAGGTAAGGGAAGAAAGTCTAGATCTAAATCAAGACCTCTTACGGGAAGAGCAAGTTTCAAATACGGTGCCAAATAAGAGAGTAGGTGGGAAGAAGAATAATAATAAGACTGAGAGGAGAGAAGGCAAGGAAGAAGCGAGCTATGTTTCAGAGGAAGGGAGCGAGAAGGAATGTTATGCCGTCACGGGTGGTGAGGATATCTCCGGAAAGTGGATTTTTGATTCAGGTTGCTCTTACCACATGTGCCCAAATAGGAAGTGGTTTACTACCTACAGAAGCAGTGATGATGGAAACGTATTGCTGGTAAACAACCATGTTTGTAAAACGATGGGGCTAGGTAATATCAAGATCAAGATGCATGATGGAGTGGTCCGAACTTTGACGAAAGTGAGGCACGTTCCCGACTTGTGGAAGAATCTTATCTTAGTTGGTGCATTGGGCTCTGGTGGTTGCAGGATTGTTATAGAGAACGGAGTGAAGAGGGTTGTTCGGGGTTCTCTTGTAGTAATGAAGAGCGTTCTTCATAGTAATTTATATACTCTCTCAGGTACGACGGTGACGGGAGATGCAACTGTTGGAACTGAAGGAAGTGGTGCAGACCCATGTGAGCACACACGGTTATGACATATGCGACTTGGGCACATGTCAGAGAAGGTTCTGGATCTGCTTGGTAAGGAGGGTTTGCTGAAGAATCTGAAGAAATATTGCATGGATTTTTATAAGGATTGTGTGTGTGAGAAGGCGCACAGGGTTCAGTTTTAAGGAGCAAGCACAAGAGCAGAGGTATTCTAGATTATGTACACATGGATGTTTGGGGTCCGGCTCAGACTACTTCCAAGGGAGGCTCTAGATATTTTATCTCATTCATAGATGATCATTCGATGTATGCTTGAGTTTATTTTCTGAAGCATAAGAATAAGGTATTCGAGACATTCAAGAAGTGGAAGGTGATGGTTGAGAACAGGACTGGGAAGAAGTTAAAGACACTGAGATCTAACAACGGTACAGAGTATACAAATGGTGCCTTCAAGGAGTTCTGTGGCCAGGAGGGCATTGCCATACACTGGACAGTTAGATCTATACCATAGTAGAATAGGACCGCAGAGAGGCTGAACCGAACACTGCGGGAGAAAGCAGTGAGTATGCGATCTTATGCTGGTTTGGGCAAAGAATGGTGTAGGCATCGAAAATTGCCTATAGGTCTCCGTGAACAGCTCAAAGCTAAGAGGAGGTGAGGAACGTCACTATCCAAGTCACAGAATCTTTATTGACGTCGATGAACGCTTGAAGTGAATCGACGAACTACGTGAAGTAACGGAATTTCAGAATAACGAAGACACGAACTGATCGGGAGTCCCGCGTCGCTTACAAAAGACGAAACGACGCTCCTATCTCAGCTTAATCCACAATGATATAATCACCAGAGCTTATAGAACTCCTCGTCGGCTTTCCAACGCACTTTGAATCACTCAAATCCGAGTTCAGATGAAGAAATTACGGCGGAAACGGACAAATGCACGGAAAAGAACGTCTCAGCCTGAGTTGAGACACCCAAGGGTGTCTCCAGGCCTAAAAACGGGCTTTTGTGTAGTTTCAACCACCCGAATGCTCCCCGAGCCTATAAATACAGCCTCATGCCCTCATTTTTCGAGATCTGGAATTCTCGAGTGTTGGCGAAGCCCTGCCGGATTGAAGATCAAAAGGCACACGAATTTCAGAGAGGAGGAGGAGAAATCGGATCGAGTTCGTCGGCATAAAGAAGAGGAGCTCGTCAGATCTGCAGTTCTCGTGTTCGTCCCTTAAGATTACCCCGTTGTGGTGATCTTAAGAAGAGCAATTATCTCGCTGTTGCCGAGATAAACGCTACGGCTTCTTGATTCCTTCGCGAATCGACGAAGCTCTGCCCAATTTTTCAGCAATCAGATCTGATCGACGGTGGTCCACGGATATCAACGTGCCCATCACAGGCCAAGTTCCCACGCAAGCAGAAGACCGATAAACGATCTCTGCGTTTGTTTGATAAAGTTGTAAACTTTTTTTTATTTTCATTGTGTAAGGAGATCTTATAAAAGATCAACCTTTTATTTTATTCGAGTTTATCGTAACGACTAAAGTTGTAATAGATTCGATAGCAATGAAAACAGCAACTTTCGACGCAAACAAGCTGGTGACCACAGTGAGAGCCAACAGCCTCGCTGCCGAGGCTGTCGTGACGCAGCCGACGATCAAGATCCCGGTGTTCGAAGATGTCGAATACGAATTCCAGCAGAAATTTGAAGAGTACATCTCCTCCTCCTCCTCCAGATCTGCTCCTCCTCATAAGCGCAAGAAGATCTCCTCCTCCCAGAAGATCCGCCGGTCTCCAGATCTGAAGACCCAAGAAGTCGATCACCACGTCGTCGTTGCCACAGTTGCACCTTGCAACGATCCGCCGGCATCCAATGAGACCAGATCTGCAGATCTGAACTCCTTCGCGATCAAGGAGCCGACCGCTGAAGGCGCGCCAACTCTATCAAAGAGAGCATGTCAAAGGAAACGCCAACGCCTCGCGCGCCAATTCGCCAAGGCTTTGGATCAGGTGGATGAACTCCATTACCAAGCAGATCTGGAGTTCAGAAAGCGCCAAGTGGCTAATCTGTCGCCACGACCAGCATCAGAATCCTCCTCTCGATCTCCAATTAACGAATGGGTTCGTGTCAAACGGACCCGCTCTACTCTCGAAGAGCGAATCCAGAAGCGCCGCGCCTCGCTTGCGCATGCCCGGACCCTTGTACGAAAAGCACAGGAAATGCAAAAGGAAGAGGCAGTTAAGAGATCACCAAGATTTAAACAAGTTTGGATGCCAAAGGCCAAATCAGCGCCTAAGGCAAAAGCATCCGAGGCTGCTTTCCGGCCTTTGTCAACTCCAGATCCTGCTCCTATTGCTCCCGCACCTCCGGTGAAGCCCTATGACAGCGTGAATCTTCCCAAATCTAAAGTCCCATTGAAGGATCGCATCGGTTCTCTACCCGAGGATCGAGGAAAAGCGCCTGTTAAGGAAAGCTTAAGACCGTTGAAGGAGCTTCGAGCAAACATCCGGACTGGGGGTTGTTTTCGTCAAAAGTTGCCTTCATCATTGATTTCATTAAAAACTTCAAACGTTACAAATGAATTCAAATAACAAAAATAAAAATTATAACTTTCTTGAAAATAAACACAAGATCCGTTTATCGTCTCTTGCTTGCGTGGGTCTTTAGCCTGTGACGGGGACGTCGATATCCGTGGACTACCTGGCAATCAGATCTGATCCAGAAAAATCAGGCAGAGCTTCGTCGATCCACGAGGAGATCTCGAAACTTGAAGCGCCTATCTCGGATAAAGCGAGATATTTGCTCTTCTTAGGATTACCGACGAGGGGTAATGCTAAGGAACGGATGCGGGTGATGTAGATCTGATGAAGAACTCTCTTGTGTTGAAGTGCTCGATCACTCTTCACTCCAGCAGGGCTTCGCCAATTCTCCAAAAATCCAGATCCCCAAAAAGTGAGGCCTAAGACTTCTATTTATAGGCGACACCCCTGGGGTGTCCTCAAAAATCTAGGACACCCCTGGGGCGTCCCCAAAAATCTAGGACCCCCCTGGGGCGTCCCCAAAAATCTAGGACACCCCTGGGGTATCTCCAAAAATCTAGGACACCCCTGGGGCGTCCTCAAAAATCTAGGACACCCCTGGGACGTCCCCAAAAATCTAGGACACCCCTGGGGCGTCTCCAAAAATCTAGGACACCCCTGGAGCGTCCCCAAAAATCTAGGACACCCCTGGGGTGTCTCTAAAAATCTAGGACACTCCTGGGGCGTCCCCAAAAATCTAGGACACCCCTGGGGCATCCCCAAAAATCTAGAACACCCCTGGGGCGTCCCCAAAAATCTAGGACACCCCTGGGGTGTCTCCAAAAATCCGAGACACTCCGCTGTAAATTCTTCGTCCGAACTCGGATTTTAGTGATTCGAATTGTGTTGGAATTCTGACGAAGAGTTCTATCAGCCCCGATGGTTGGATTATCTGTAGAACGAACGAGACACGAAAGGCGTTGTTCTTTTTGTAAACATCGCGGGGCTCTCGATTAGCCCGTGCCTTCGTTATCCCGAAATTCTGTCAGCTCATGTAGTTCGTCGGTTTACTTCAATCGTCAGTCAAACTCCTGTGAACCAGATAGTGACGTTCATCGTCGCTCTTTAACACTGAACTGTTCGTGGAGACCTATTTTTCGAACGTCGAATGTTGACTTTTTGTTGCAACGCGTTGACTGGCGTTGACCTAGGGTTACGCGTTGACCGGCGTTGACCCTGGGGTTTCGAATGTTGCAACGCGTTGACTGGCGTTGACCTAGGGTTACGCGTTGACCGGCGTTGACTCTAGGGTTTCGAATGTCACAACACGTTGAAGGGCGTTGACCTAGGGTTACGCGTTGACCGGCGTTGACCCTGGGGTTTCGAATGTCGCAACGCGTTGAAGGGCGTTGACCTAGGGTTACGCGTTGACCGGCGTTGACCCTGGGGTTTCGAATGTCGCAACGCGTTGAAGGGCGTTGACCTAGGGTTACGCGTTGACCGACGTTGACCCTAGGGTTTTGAATCGTCGAATGTTGACTTTTTGTTGCAACGCGTTGACTGGCGTTGACCTAGGGTTACGCGTTGACCGGCGTTGACCCTAGGGTTTCGAATCAACCTGAGGAGAACCAGTTTATACTCATGTACTCCTGGGAGTTTCGGGAATTAGTTTAGCCTCGTGTACCCGTCGGAGGTTGACGGGTTATCCTTAAGAATATTATACATAATATTTTCCAGGAACTTTCCCGTCAATTGTGAGAAATAGTTTAAACTCGTATTCTCATTGGAGTATAAATACGAGTGTCGAATATATCGAAAAAATATCCGAAAAGAGGTTCGAAATGCATATGAATTATCCCCGGACCTTTCCACACGAGCGAGCCCACATTTCGCGGCCCACACTCGTGTGAATCAACAAGATAGGATGAGTCCAGTTCACTTAAAACTTGGTTTGAGTTGGTTCGGGGCAGATGGGTTCGGTCCAACTTGGGTCCGGTTCACTTAAAACTCCCCCAAAACCCGATCTCCCCTCTTCTCTTCCTTCTTTTCTTTCTTTCGGTTCCAGGCCTTCTTCCTCAAAAGAAAATTTTTGGTTTCTTCACTTTCCAAGCTCTGCTCATTCCAGAGTTCTTCTAGATCAAGACTTCCAACTGGAATCAAAGTCTTCCTCTCTAAATTCCCCTCTCCTTCTTCTGACTTGGGTCCGAGCAAGGGGGAAATTCGAGTTTAGGGTTTCGGCGATTTAAGGTCTTCTTTCCCCTTCAAACTTCAAGAACTTTGGGTAAATCTTTTCTCATTGCTTTGATCCCCTTACATTGATTTTTTAGTTAATTCCCCAAGATTTAATTCAATGATTGAAAACCCTAGTTCTTCAAATTGGGGAAAAACCGAATTTTGATTGATGGCAGAAACTCTTGGTTGGCCGAATTTTTTTACTGTTCATGGCCGAATTTTGAATGATGGCCGAATTCTGTCTTCAATTGTGTTCCTGGCTTGATGTTTGAGAGCCTAAATCTTCAAATTTTGGGGGAAACCGAATTTTTTGAGCTTTGAGGGTTGATGGTGGCCAAAGAACTTGATTTGTTTGAGCCCTTAACTGTACATGGCCGAAATTCTGGACTGTTCATGGCTTGTGTTGGCCGAAATTTCTTGGTTGAGGGTGGCCGAACCTTGATTGCCTATAGCCGAAATTTTGTTGAGATTTTGGTTGATGACTTGATGACTTAAATCCATAGTTCTTTGAATCCGTACATGGTCAAAACAAAATTCGTTGAGCTGTTTGAACTGTACATGGACGAAATTTCGTCTTCGTGGTTGATGATTATGGATTTGAGTCTCGAACTTATACATAACCCGACTCTTGACCGAATTTTTGTATGGTTTGAACTTGCATGTGATTTGATTTCGAATTTGCATGTAGTCGAAAATTTTTGTATGCTTCGAATTCACTCTTGTATATGGCCGAAACTTGAGGGGGCTTTTGTGTAAAAAGATGGACTAAACTTTGAAGGGGTTATGCGCAAAAGAGGGACTGAACTTTGAAGGGGTTATGTGCAAAAGAGAGCTGAAATTTGAAGGTTTTTTTTTTTTGCAAAATTGGCTAAATTTTACAAAAGGGTGTTATGTGTAAGATTAACCAAAATTGTGGGGTGCTGGGGGTGCTATGTGATCAGGTATGATGACCATGACCCAACTCGAGCGTGTCCTTGACCCGAATTTAGCCTTGAACACGAAGGGTATTTTGGGTATTTCACCAAAATTTACTGCGAAAATGACAATCATTGTTCCGCATGCACGAAATTTGTAGGTTTAATTAGACTTCAACTATAAAATCCTATTTATACACAGGATTTTAATTAAAGTTCTTAATTTCCCTTTTAAATTTCGCGTATTCATACTTTAGATTGTATCTGACTTGCTGCTTTTCATTGCAGGTTTCCGATGCCTCCACGCCGATCTCGACTTCCTAGGAGTCGATCCCATTCGCAGCCTAGCGAGGAAGAAGTTCCCGCATCATCCTCCCCTCCAGCGGCTTCCTTTTTTGGGGGTGGGAATTTTTTTATTTTTGTATCCCCGATTGATCTCTTCGCGGGTCATGCAGGAAGAACCGACACCCTCCTTCGCGGGGGTCGAGGTTTCGGACTTGGTGGTTCTGTTATGCCCTCGTTTGGCCCCTTCGCGGGTCATTCGGGAAGGGCCGACACCCTCCTTCGCGGGGGTCGAGGTTTCGGACTTGGTGGTTTTGTCATACCCTCGTTTGGCCCCTTCGCGGGTCATTCGGGAAGGGCCAACACTCTCCTTCGCGGGGGTCGAGGTTTCGGACTTGCCTTGCTTGGCTAATTCAAGTCTTCTGGTATATTGGGGCGATTTTGTGTCGTCCTACACCTTATAGGTCGGTGTATGTTACCACGTTATTTACGTGATGATGCATACCGTTCTTCCAGTGTAGGACACTCAAAATCGTCTCTCCAATTATCCCATGACTGATCTTATCTCGCTTTTTATGAACTTTCTGACTCTATCCTTGTAGTCGAGTTCCCCGCGGGCAGCCTTCCTCCTCATGCTAATACTGGTTGTAGCCGGGAGGTCTTCTCTTCAGCTTCCATCAGGCAGGCCGTTAGTCCACTCCCTCAGTTTGGTTTTAGCCGGGAGGTCTTCTCTTCAGCTTCCATCAGGCAGGCCGTTAGTCCACTCCCTCAGTTTGACAGAGATCGCTCCGACGAATCCTGTCGTTTGATACGGGATGGAGGGCGTCATTGCTTACGCCAGCTGATTACGGACGCCTCCTTCACTGCAGATTCTACTTCCACTCAGGCTTTAAAGAAGCCCGGTTTCCTGTTCGGGGATCACACGGAGGATCCTGCTACGTTGACTCTTACTGAGGAGCATTGGCTGAATCTTCATGAGGGAGCTCTCCTGTATATTCCCTCCATTCCTCGTCAATATTCTTTCACCCATTTGGAGGGACAGGCCGTGGAGCGACATATGTCTTGGCCTCTTACCTATGATGCTGAGCGAGTTCAGTGTGGATATACCTCTCATCATAAGATTCCTGGTTCTACTGGGTATCATGATATCCGCGGTCTTCGACCAGGGATTATGGGTCTTGACACTGCACCCCCAGGCGAGGTATCAGCAGCTGCTCCTACTGTGAAGAATCGTCTGGCTCATCTTGGGAGAAGGTTACCTCCACCAGATTACAGATGCTATGGTTGGGCTTTCTCACAAGCCAAGGGATGGTGGACACGCATGACCAGTTACGTCTTGGGGCGCTGGGAGAAGGATTTGAAGAGCAGAGGATTGTATGCACCTATACGGGCCACCATGTACGGACTTCCGGTCAGCTGCCGCCATTTCTTGGCGTTGTTGGAGACATACATGCCCGACAGTAACACGTTCATGACCAGCGGCGGAGAGTTAGGGTTGGCCTTACATGAGATGTATCAGGTTTCTGGTCTTCCAATGGGGGATTGTCCATATCAGGAGTACTTTCCCTCGAACCAGCAGTTGGGGTGGTTGAAGAAGGATACTCCCGACATGCATGATACTCTTTGGGACATCACTTGTCATTATTATACCTCCTTGATCAAGATTTCTCCTCCAGCGAAGAAGAAAAGGCAAATCAGCTTGAAACAGTTTGCTGTCTATCTGTTCCCTAATTTGGAGGGTGACTCCGGCGAGCCCCTTCGTGAGTTAGATGTCCTGACCCCTACCGCCATTAATGAGTTGATGGAGAAGGCTGAGGCTCATTCTTACACCATTGCCCGTGCTGAGGGAGCTTTTCCTGCAGGAACCAAGTTTCGTTCGTTCCTCCGCCGTGCACAGAAGTCCATCGAGCCCCGGACTCTGCTAGCAGGCTACATTGCCCTCTGGTTGAAGAAGTGTGTTGTTCCGTACCGGTCTTTAGACGCCTTACCTCTCGAGGTGCTCTTCCCCGCAGTTCAGCTAGCTTATGGGAGGGAGCTTTCACTGCTCCCAGCGATGGTTGCCGGCATCCATTGCGGGCTTAGGTATCTGGTCAGTGGTTTTACACGGGTGGGTTCTAAACCATCGACCGAGCTTACTTGTCCGAAGGTCGAGCTTCCTTATGCGTATCTGATGGCGTGGCTCGTTCTTCACCGTCCTGACTTGATGTCGGCGCCCAGCGTTGTTGATGTCCCCGTTCCTTTCGTGCAGCTGTTGGAGAGGAGCAGATGGCTCGGGAAGAAATTCGGCGATGCACAACGAGAGCTTCAAGTTCGCAAGAGCTGGGAGTTCTTCAAGTGTTTTCCCCACTTTTCGGGTCGCTATGGTGATGTGCTGACTGATGAGGAGAAACCCAGAACTAATCGGACTGCTCTCGACGTTGGTTGTTTCCGCTGGTTAGTGAACATCCGTGTTGGGTATCTCGTTCTCCGGGTGAAGAATCATTGCCACATAGAGCCTTACCTTCCCTGCTGTTTTGCTCGTCAGTTCGGCTATGACCAATTATATGTTGGGAATCCGAGCCGTGGTTTGAAGGTTGAGGGGGGGCTTATTGATGGCGTACGGGCATGGCTATGGACTATGGTGGGCTGCACCGGAGCCCACTTTGCTCTTCCTTCATATAGGCGCAAGCCGATGATTACTTTCCTCAGTTGTAAGTGGTTCCTCTCCGCCAATGAATCCATAGGTGTGAGGAGTCTTTCAGAGTTAGAGTCTGAGCACTCGGTCCAGGTCGCTATGATGGCTGCTCGTAAAGCCGAGCTTGCTCAGAAACAGAAGAAGAATTCTGCCAAACCTCCTCTCTCAAGCAAAGACGATGAAGAGCTCCTTCCTACTGACGATGATGACGAGACTTCTGAGGAGGAGTATGTGGATATAGATATCGACCAAGAAGAACTTGATGCAGGTTTGTCATACTCTTTGATCCTCTTTCTCAACTTCAATTGATATCAACGAAAGATCTGGTTCATTTAATGAAATAATCCTTATCATTTCAGGTAGGACAGCCGACGACCATGAGTCGCTCGCTTCCCGTCGTGCGAGATTCAGGCCTGGTGGCCAAGCTCCTACCCAGGTTGATACACGTGGCCAGTCCACGCACGAACGACCCGTTGGTTCTATGAGGGGTGATATTCCGAAAAAGAAAAAGATCGCTCATAAACCACACGTTGGTCAGCGCTCCTATGAAGTGGATTTAGGAGACTTCGCCGACAGGGAGGAAGGTAATACTTCGTCGTTTTCATTGCTTTAAGATGACTTACCTTCTGGGATTCGTAATCATGTTTTATGTTCCAGGGTTCTTTGAAGAGGGCGAACTCCCATTGTCTCCTGTATTCACTGGTTCTGATAACATGGATAGCTTCATGGAGCAGATGTGCGACGCCCTTCGTGACGGTTCTCTGGGTATCGATCTAAACATTGATCTTGGATAGGTGAATAGTGTTGAGCCCACCGTTCCATATTCAGGTATATCTACATCCGATGATACCCTCCTCAAACACGGGGAAAGAGAATCTTCTGTTCTTGCTGCAGGTATTTCTGAGCTTTCCCTTCTTCCTTATCTTCTTATACATACCTCCGACATTTAGGTTGTCCTGCAGATGTCGCGATGGAAAAGCCAGCTGAGGATCAGATCTTTCACGATGTGGGCTTCGAGGAACAGAGGTGTGCCTCTGTACCAGGTTCCTCGGGACCCGACGCTGGATTATTAGCCGATATGTTGGCTGAGCAGGCCACCAGAAGAACCATGGGACCACCCTTTGAGAATGATTCATTCACAGGTATATATCTGATTCCCTTCATCTTGCCTGATCTTTTGTCTGACTAACGAAGGATTAATATTACAGCGCCAGTCATTGGGATTAACCCAATATCGATTCCCGGCATATCTAGCTTACCTCGGAGTGACGGACTTGCAGGTACGCATACGATTTAGGGACATCGTACTCCTCTTTCATTTATCTGATTTTTTTTTGACTAATAAAGGGGTGTAATCATAGGACCAGCCACTGGGACTGATACCTTTATGACTCCTGGTATCCCTCTTGCATCTGAGGACGATGGACTTACAGGTATGCATACGATTTCGTCATCCCGATTTTCCTTATTTGTCTAAATTTTCATTTTGACTAATAAAGAAGTGTAACTATAGGACCAGCCGTTGTGCCTGATGCCACTACAGTTTCTGGGACTGATAGTTTGCCTGAGAGCGGTGTCTCTCCGCCACAGCCGAGAGGTATGGTCGATTTGCCTACAGGGGTTGATGCACCCTCCATGACTACTCCTGCAGTTACTTCGGAACCTGTCGGATCTCAGCCCGAGGGGACCTCCGTTGGCATTGGTATGCTCGGAATTTGCCCTTAAGTTTTCTTATCATATTTGATAATTTCTTAGACTTCCACACTGTTACTTGCAGGATCTCGATCATCTCTATATGAGCATGTTCACGCCCTCCTGGCCGATACCGATCCAGACAGAGACATTTTCCGTACAGACCTCGGCTTTTTTACCGCCTTTTTTAACGGCATGATCGAGAAACTGCTTCATCGAGGATATTGTTTTGATCAGTTCAGGCATTCCTTTTCTCGTCACATGATGATGTTTAGAGAAGAAGGGTATCCAGAGTTGGCCGATTCCTTCACCGTCGATCTTGCTGTTCTGGAGTCGGAGATCCGAGAGTTGAAGGAGCTAAAGGCCAGTGGGGTTTCTTCCTTCGTGTCCTCTCAGATGGAGCATAGGCTGACACAGTGGCGCGACCTGAGATCTTCCATCGGCAGCGAGCTTCAGTCACATGAGCGTTCAGTTGCGCAGCTGATGGCTACCGTGGCGAGGAGGGATACAGATAGGGCCGAGCTACTCCGCTCTATGGATTCCGGGCGCGAGGAAGTGGCTAGGTTGAAGGAGGCTTTGAAGCGCGTCGAGGAGTCCCTTACTGTCATTGCAGAAGACCTGTCTGGAGTAGAGTATTCTCGTGGACAAGCTCTCGAGAAGCTAGGATCTACACAGGAGAGACTGATGAAGCTGAAGGATGAAGCCGAGAAGATCTTAAGCAGTTCCGAAGACTCTGTCCGAGCTAGTCTGCAGGCAGAACTTGAGCAGAGCTATGTTCTTAAGCAGTTCCGAAGACTCTGTCCGAGCTAGTCTGCAGGCAGAACTTGAGCAGAGCTATGTAGACATGCTTTCTAGTTTAGAGTCCCATGTTCTTAGCCGTCAGTTGCCTTCGGGCTAACGAGCTTTTCATCATATGCTTTTGACTTGATCTATTACTAGAGACTCCGCATTTGCTTCTTTCATGATATTTCTTTATTTACTTTGAACCCAGCAATGATAAAATTTATAGGATTTTTGGCAAACCCCCAGCCCTCAACGGGTTTGATATGCCTTTAACCGTTTAAATCGGACTAGCATGTGATTTATTAAAACCCGCCTCACATGTAACGTTGTGCTAAGAGAATTGCTTTTCTTAGGCTTGATGCTATGATTTTGAATACATAGACTTAACCATTTCTTATAGGGAAAAGGTACCCCGCGCCGCGTATTAGACGACGACTTATCCCTTCTTAGGCTTCGGGATAAAATTCCCCAGTTTTAGACCCTGGTGTCTTTTTCAATCGGCGAAAGACTAAACCGGCAATGTGTGTTAGACATAGACTTTGGGATTTTTGGCAAACCCCCAGCCTTCAACGGGTTTGATGTGCCTTTACCGATTACCGTTTGAGTCGGGCTAGCATGCGGATTGTCTAAATCCGTTCCGCATGTAACGTTGTGTTTAGAGAGTGAATTCTCTGAGGCTTTGTGCTATGATGCTGAATACATAGGCTTCGCCTTTGTTACGGGAACAGACTACCCGGCAACACGTGTTAGGTGTTGACTCGTCCCTTCTTAGGCTTCGGGATAAAATTCCCCAAGTTTAGACCTTGGTGTATTTTTCAATCAGTGAAAGACTAAACCGGCAACGCGGGTTAGGCGTAGACTTATCTCTATTTAGGAGTTGAGATAAAATTCCCCGTGCATCAAGTGCTCGGATTGGAAGTTGGGAATTGTGTCTTTTGTCAGAATAAAGACGGATTGGGAAACGGGAGAGGAAGAATTTTATATTCTATCTCCCGGGACTGAAGAGGAAGAATTTTATATTCTATCTACAGTCGGAAAGGAAACTCAAGGTGGGATCTCCACCCCCAGAATCCAAAAAGATGAAACTAAGAGTGGGATCTCCACTCCGAGAATCGGAAAAGTTCAAACGGCCCTAACTTTTATAGGATTGGTCATTTGAATCAAAAAAATCCCTCATTCATTGAGGAGAAAGCCCAATTTCGACCCTAACTTTTATAGGTTTGGTGGAAAAAAGGAACAAAGGCGGATTTTCGTTTATCGAAAAGGAATGACTCGGTCTTAGCCCTAACTACTTATAGACTTGACTAAGTGAGCTCGGGAACAATCCTAACTTTTACAGGTTTGATTGTTCAGATTGAAAGTGGATCTCTCGTTCATGGAAAGAATCGAGAGAGGAATTTGGCTCTGGCCCTAACTTTTATAGGTTTGACCTGAAAGCAAAGAAAGTGGAATACAGGCAGCGATGGAAATGCCAACTCGTATTATCACTTAAAGGAGGACTTTAATGCTAGGTGATTAGGACCTAACATATTGAGTCTGAGAAATGCCAATGACTGGCAGATAAAAAATTTTGGTGAATCCACCGACGATTAATTTGATCAGCAGATGGTTTGGTGAGGAAAGATCAACCTATCAGAGGATTGGATCTCATCTCACAAACATAACTCATAAGAGTTAGAGAATTTTGATAATAATAAGAAGAAACATTCTGACATTCGGAGTTCGAACGTGGATTTCTTATTCATCAATACTACAATGGTTGGGTTATCCCTAAGAATACCCCATGTGGTATTCTTCTGGGAACTTCCCGATACATTGGTTATCCTGAAGATACTAAGGATAGTATTTTTTCAGGAACTTGCCGTTTATCGGCATCATAAGCCGGTCGCCGTCCTTGGTGACTAGGCGATATGCGCCACTCGAGTAAACTGTCTCTACTACGATTGGCCCTTCCCATTTGGGTTCAAATTTACCTTTCTTCTTGGAGTTAAGGATCATCGGCCGTCTTTCAGTTAAGACCAAATCCCCTTCCTTAAAACTCCTTTGTCGAACCTTTTTGTCGAAGGCTCGAGAAATTCTAGCTTGGTAAAACTCAATATGCTGTTGAGCTTCCAGGCGCTTTTCATCGAGCCTCTCGAGTTCTTCGAGGCGTTTCTGATGTTGTTCTTCGATCGTCATCTGGGTTACAAGGGCGATCCGAAGAGACGGGATTTGAATCTCCAATGGAAGAACAGCTTCACATCCGAATGAA